GACTGGTTGTTTTTTGTTTTATAGTTCCATTTTTGTGTTTCCTATCTTTGTTATAGTTCTAAGTTCATCTACTCTTCCATTAAGTTCATTGAGCATCCTTATAACCAGCGTTTTGAACTCGCATCTGGTTGATTTCATGTCTCCTTTTTATTTAGTTCTTCTTCTGGAGTTTTGTTCTGTTCTTTCATTTGGGACTTACTTATCTCCTCATTTTGGCAGCCTCCCTGTGTTTGTTTTTATCTATTAGGTAGAACTGCTACATCTCCCAGGCTTGGTAGAGTGGCTTTATGTAGTAGGTATCCTGTGGGTTCCAGTGGCACACTCTTCATTCACTTCTCATTCAGACACCTGGGCACTGCAATGCACCCTCTCCAGTGGGCTGTGTACACTTTTCTGTTGTAGTTGAGCTTGATTACTGTTGGCACATCAAGGGGAGAGATTTGTTCCCAGGCCAATCAGCTGCAAGGACTGGGTGTTACCGTGGTGGAGGATCAGCTGTGCAGGGGCCCACCACATGGAGCAAGGGCTCCAGTGCCTTTTGAGCCCACCTCTTGAGTGTGTTGGTTGTGGAGATGGCTGGGTGGTGCTTCAGTGTGGTCTGAAGGTGTCTAGTAGGTGTGCTGGCACTAGGGTCTCCCAGGAGGTGCAGGCCAAGGTCAGCTGCTGTGTGTGTTCTGCCTGGGGCCACCTGGCATGAGCCACAAAGTGACCTGTAGATGACTGCTATTTGCTATGGGCTTGGAATTACCCAAGAGAGGCCATGCTGCAAACCAAGGCACCTGCCACTGGTGCTGGGCTTGGAACCAGTTAGCAAGAGCTATGGGGTATACCAAAGCCAGATGCTGATTGTTTGAGAGATGTCTGACAATTCAGTTCCTCCCCATATGTCCCTGGTGCCTTTTGAGCTGCTGCCATAGTGCTGCAGCTCAGAGCAAGTGAATCTGATTAAGCCCATGCAGGCCCTTTAAAAAAAATGCCTGGATTCCAGAAACCTCCGTCTCACTCAGCCACAGTCTCCATTGGTTGTTACAGCAAGAAGTTATAGGGACTTCTCTTCCTAGGAGTAGAACCCTGGTCTGGGGGTTGGAGTGCCTGGTAAGTGGCTATGACCCCTCGCTTTTCAGGGAGGACCCCTACCAATCTCGATGTGGCTTCTTCTTTATATCCTCAGTTGTAAGTCTTCTGTTCAGCTAGATTTCATTCAGTTCTGAATAATGGTTGTTCGGTAGTTTAACTGAAATTTTGATGTGGTTGTAGAAGGATGCAAGTAATGCATTTACCTACACCACCGTCTTGGCCAAGCTTGTCCTGTAATTTTTCCTTGTAATGACTTCCTAGGTTTTTGTATTAGAATTTTATTGACTTCATAGACCAATTCGGGAGTGTTTCTTTTTTCTTTGTTTAAAGATCTTAGGGATGTTTGGCATGATATCTTTTTTATTTTTTATTTATTTATTTTTTTTAGATTTTATTTATTTATTTTTAGAGAGGGAAGGGAGGGAGAGAGAGAGAGAGAGAGAGAGAAACATCAATGTGTGGTTGCTGGGGGTCATGGCCTGCAACCCAGGCTTGTACCCTGACTGGGAATCAAACCAGCGACACTTTGGCTCATAGCCCGTGCTCAATCCATTGAGTTACGCCAGCCAGAGCTATATCTTTTATTTTTTAAATATATTTTATTGATTATGCTATTGCAGTTGTCCAGATTTCTCCCTGTTTGACCCCCTCCACCCAGTACCCCCGTTCCCTCCAGCAATACTCTCCTTAGTTCATGTCCATGTGTCGTGCATGTGAGTTTTTTGGCTTCACATTTCCTATACTATTTCTTTGTACCTACCAATTTATGCTTCTTAATCCTTGCACCTTTTCTGCCATACTCCCCCCTTCCCCCTCCCAGCTGATAACCCTCCAAATGATCTTCATATCTATGATTCTGTTCCTGTTCTGGTTGTTTGCTTGGTTTGTTCTTTTAGATTCAGTTGTTAATAGTTGTGAATTTGTTACCATTTTAATGTTCATAGTCTTGATCTTATTTTTCTTAAGTAAGTCCCTTTAACATTTCATGTAATAAGGGCTGGGTCATGATGAACTCCTTTCACTTGACCTTATCTGGGAAGCACTTTATCTGCCCTTCATTCTAAATGAAAGCTTTGCTGGATAGAGTAATCTAGGTTGTAGGCCCTTGTTTTTCATCACTTCATCACTGCTATCTCCTGGCAGATGCCCTGTTTCTGGTAACTTCATTTTCTCCTCATATGCCACTGGTGCTCTTCCAGCTGTTGCCCTGGTGCTGAATCTCAGAGTTGATGGGTCTATGTAAGTCCTAAGTCTGTGTGGGCCCTTTAATAGGAATGTCCTGATAATATGGCAGTTTATTCCACTACCCCAGCACAAATGGTTTTTACAAGCAGAAATTATGTGGATTTATCTTCTTGGTGCTGGAACCCTGGGCTGCTGGGTAGTCTGGTTTAGGGTTTGGTTCCCTCATTCCCCAGGTATCCCTCTTGATTTTTATCCACGACATGTGAATGTGGGACTTCCCATTCTGCTGCTGCTACATGCCACTCTCTGGGATCCACACCTCTCCGCGCCTCCACCTCTCTTCACGTCTCCACTCCTCCTACCCATCTAGATGAATGTGGCTTCTTTAAATCCTTGGTTACTTCCATAGAGCTCGATTTTTCTGACAGTTCTGGGTGATATTTGTTTTGTAGTCTAATTGTAATTTTTTCTGTAGTTGTGTGAGGCATTGAAGCATGTTTACCTACACCTCCATCTTGACCAGAAGTCTCCAGAAGTATTATATCTTTTTTAAATGCTTAGAAAAATTCACCAGGGAAGCAAGCCATCTGGGTTTGTAATTTTTTCATTGTGGGAAAATTTTAAATAAATATTTGATTTTTAAAACAAATCTAGGACTATTTAGAAATTTTATCTTTCTGTTTTTCAAAAATTTTATTGAAGAAATGTTTCCATTTCATTTAAGTTGCCAAATTTATTGGGAAAGCTTTTTTTCCCAATAATTTCCTATTATTATCTATTTAATGGTTTCTATAAAAATTGTACTGATGTTTTCCATTTTGGTTAGTCTTCTATGGGTTAACAATTTTAATTAACCCTTCAAGAAACCACCTTCTGGCTTTGTTGATTTTCTCTTTCATAGGTCAACTTTCTATTTAACTGGTTTCCTTCCTTATTTCCTTTATTATACTTCCTTTAAGTTTACTTTTGTTGTTTTTCTAGATTTTTTGAAATAGACCTTTAGATTGAGTTTTCAACCTTTCTTCCTTTTAATACATGAACTTAGTTATTTTTTTCTTTAAATACCACTTTAGCGGGATCTCACAAGTTTATTATTTATTTATTTTTTGAGAGAAAGAGAGAGAGCAAGAGAGAGACAGGGAGAAAAAGAAATGTTGATTTGTTGTTCTACTTATTAATGTATTCATTGGTTGATCCTTGTATGTGCTCTAACCAGGAATCTAACCTGCAACATTGGCATGTCAGGACAATGTTCTAACCAACTGAGCTACCTAGGCAGCTCAGGATCCTACAAGTTTTGACTTGCCATTCTTTCACCCATGTTTTTTTTTGTTTTGTTTTGTTTTGTGCTGCCCAGACTGTATTGTGGCAGACATAAGTTACAGATGCAGATAGTGTAAGTTACACAGGAGGGCACCCACCTCTGGACCTATGGGTTTTTTAGAAGTATCTTGCTTACTTTCAAAAATAATTTTTTATACTCTGGTCAGAGAACTGCATCCTATGCATTTCAGTTTTTAAATATTTGTTGTGGTTTGCTTTATGACCCAGATATGGTCTATTTTTGTAAATTTTTCATGTGCACTTGAAAAAACTGTGTAGTCTACAGTTCTTCAACTTTTTATATCCTTAATGATTTTTAAATCTGATTGATCTATCAGTTACTGAGAGAGATGTGGTAAGAACTTCAAGTCTGATTGTGAATTTCTCTCTTTTTTCTTTTTTTATTGTAATAAAATATACATAAGGCTTGCCATAGTGCATTTTAATTTGGTAAATTTTGGTTTATGTGTTTTGAGATCATGTTTATTAGATACATATAAATTTAGGATTGTTTTATCATCATCCTGATGGATTGATGTATTTATTATTAGGAAATGTTTCTCCTCATTTTGTCTTTATTTTTCTTAACAATTCCTACCTTAAAGTCTACTTTGTCTGATAGTTAATCACATCACCTTCTTTTTTGTTAATGTTGGCATGGTGTTTTACTTGTAGTACATCTGTGGCCTTATATTTAAAGATGTTTTTTGTAGAAAGCTTTATAAGTAGATCTTGCCTTTAAATGAAATGCTGATGTCAAATTCAGGCCCAGTCATAGTTGCCTTGGTTTGTGGTACCCATAAGAGGGAAATGGTAATGGCCTTACATACGATCAGCTGTTTAGACCCTATATAGCTGATGGAAGAGGGATCTCCCTATTGGTGTAATATTTTGATACAATAAATTACCACCCTCAAATTTATCTGTTTGTAAAATGCTTTGTATTCATTATAAATAGTAGCAGGTTAAAGAAGAGTAGGCTTGAACTGTGGAACAGCCAGCTCTGAGGGCCATTTAGTGTCCTCAGAGGAAAGATGTGTAGGAGGTGCTATGCAAACCTCTAAATGTTTGTTATAAAAATTTCTAATCAAACTATTTCATATTGGAATCATAGATTAATCTATGAATTTTTAAGTGATAAGGAGGCTCAGAGACCATTTTGGGCCCACTGTCATACTTTGATTACTTGAATATAGTAATATAAATTGTACTTTCATTTTTGTTACTCATGCCATGCAAGCAAATGGATAGCTGAATACTTGGAATTTTGACTTTAAATGTAATTATGGCCTTTAGAAATAACAACTTGTTTAAAAATGAACCAAAGTATAAATCAAATGGACAACTGATATATTTCAGATCCCAAAGAAAATTTATAAGGAAAAGTTGTTGTTTTCACTTTGCATCTTTATTTCTTAGAAAAAAGACTTCATCATTTTATATGTGATGAGGCTTTCTGGGCTCCTGACATCTTCACTGAATTTGACTGAAACTTCCTTCTCTTGAAAATGAATTGGCATCTTCTTGCTCTCCACACGCATGAGCTTCACTTTCAGAGGGCCCAAGTTTGCATAACTCTATGGTGAGCAGATACAGAAGAAAGTAGGAGAGATTATTCAGCAAGTTACCCTATGACAGATTTCATTTCCCTCCTAATTGCCTGAATGTTGTATAACATGTGACATAGGAGAACTACTAAAAATAAAAAACCACTCAATAAACCTATATAGCCACTGGGACATAGCAGGCAAGATCTCCCAAAGGGCAGTCAGAACATCTGACAGGTTTGTCTTTCAGGGGACCTGGTGGAGGGGCACCAGCTAGATAGACTGGGGAGCTACAGGCTCTATAAGCTCTTCAATTGCTAAATGAAACTGTTGGCTATAGATAGAATATAACTATAGCAGAGTTTTCTATATTATTCAAGAACAAAGGGAAATATCTGCAAACATCACCTTGACTATTAATATTCTAACAGCGAGCAAATTCTTTTTAAAGAAAAAAAAGATTTCATTCATTTTTATTTTTAGAGAGGGAAGGGAGGGAGAGAGAGAGAGAGAGAAACATCAATGTGCGGTTGCTGGGGGTCATGGCCTGCAACCCAAGCATGTACCCTGACTGGGAATCGAACCTGCGACACTTTGGTTCACAGCCCATGCTCAATCCACTGAGCTACGCCAGCCAGGGCTAAATTCTTATGAATTTTGTACTTTTCAAGGGCCTCTAGCTACTATATAAATAAAACTTATAATATTCTGCCAAACTAACTGTAGTTTGATATCAGTAAAAGGAATTAAAAGTCTACATGAAATCCCACAGACACCCTCAAACTAGGCTGAAACAGCTCAGGCCTTCCCTGATGTTCCTTCCTCTTGGGAGACTTCCCAAGTCATAATGTTTTCTTTTGAATTCCTTCAGTGCTTCAACAAACCTTTCCTGAGTTCTGACTATGTGCCAAGCTATGTGTCAAATGCTGGGGTGCAATGATAAGCTCACAGACTGGTCAGAGAGACAGTAGAGATGGTACATTCCTCTTGCACAGTAATTAATAATATTCTTATGTCTTCTATTAGCATGTAAGTGATTTTAGGGCAGGGCCTGCCGTATAGGCATCTTTGAGACTTCATTTCTTCCTGTTCACCCCATTAAGTCCCCAAGCATCTAACAAGTACCTGGAATGTCATGGGGTCCTCAATAAACATGTATTAGAATTTTTGAATATCAAAAAATGAAAGAAGTCGATGTTTTATCACCCAATAATGCATACAACTGTATTTAGTTTTTTAATATATAATTATAGAACTATCATAAGTGAAAGAGAGGAGAAAAGCAAATTGATAGACATCTACCACATATTTCAGAACCATAACACACTGTGTTAATCTGCTCAGACTGCCATAACAAAACACACAGACTAAGTGGCTTAAACAACAGAAATTCATTTCTCACAGTTTTGGAGGGTGGAGAGTTCAAGACCAGTGTGCTAGCATTATTGGGTTCTGGGGAGAGTTCTCTTTCTGGCTTGCAGATGGGCTCCTTCTCACTATGTCCTCATAAGGTAGAGCCTAATGTTATAAGGACACAGTCCTATGAGATTAGGGCCTCATCTTTATGACCTCATCTAACCTTAATTATCTCCTAAGGAACCCATCTCCAGACATAGTCACATGGGGTGTAAGGGCTTCAACATATGAAGGTGGGGGCAGAGGCAGAAAGACATAAATTCAGTCCATCACATACACAATGCCATTTTCATCACATCAAAAATTTACGTAATTGGCAAGAAAGTCATTCAACCAAATAGTTTCCAATTTTGGAACTTTGCAGACAATTGTCCACTAGCCTGAGGTCATTATAACATACTTGGTGTCATGATTCCAAGATACTCATGGGGGTGTTTGAATGCCATAGGAACTAGAACTTCAATCTTTAACTGTGTCACTTGATGGCAGCAGGACTGAGTTTTAGTTAGTTAAAGTTTTTTGTGGATTTATCCAGTTTCTACTGCTTTCTTATATCACTCTTTCTCCTATAAGACTTTAGGTTATAGGAGAACTTTTTAAGATATTGGTAGTACTGAGAAGGATAATAGCAAAGGGTTGATGTGAGAGTAATTGGAATGTACCAAAAGGTTTTATATTTTAAACAATTTCTAAAATTGTTTTATTGATTATACTCTTACAGTTGTCCCAATGTTTCCCCCTGTGTCCCCCTCCACCCAGCACTCCCCATTCCCTCAGGCAACCCCCCCGCCATTGTTCATGTCCATGGGTCATGTGTATAAGTTCTTTGGCTACTCCATTTCCTATACTGTACTGTACATCCGCATGGCTATTCTGTAACTACCTATGTGTACTTCTTAATCCTTTCACCTCTTCACCCATTCTCTCATACCTCCCTCATACCTGCTCTCCAAAATGCTCTCCAAGTCCATGATTCTATCTCAGTTCTTCTTGTTTGCTTAGTTTGTTTTTTAGATTCAATTGTTGATAGATGTGTTTATTGCCATTTTATTATTGATAGTTTTTATCTTTTTCATAAATAAGTCCCTTTAACATATCATATAATAATGGTTTGGTGATTATGAACTCCTTAAGTTTTTCTTGTCTGGGAAGTTCTTTATCTGCCCTTTGATTCTACATGATAGCTTTGCTGGGTAGAGCAATCTTGGTTGTAAGTACCTGCTTTTCATGACTTTGAATATTTTTTGTCAATCACTTCTAGCCTGCAAAGCTTCTTTTGAGAAATCAGCTGAAAGTCTTATGGGAACTCCCCTGTAGATAACTAACTTCTTTTCTCTTGATGCTTTTAATATTCTCTCTTCATATTTAACCTTTGCCATTCTAATTATGATGTGTCTTGGAATGGGCCTCTTTGCATCCATTCCTTGTTCAGGACTCTCTGTGCTTCCTGGACTTACATATCTATTTCCTTTGCCAAAGTAGTGAAGTTTTTTCATTATTTTTCCAAATAGATTTCCAATTATTTGCTCTTTCTCTTCTCCTTCTGGCGCCCCTATGATGTGAATGTTGGAATGCCTGAAGTTGTCCCACTGGCTGCTTATGCTATCCTTGTCTTTTTGGACTCTTTTTCCTACTTGTTGTTTTGATTATTTTTGTTTGTTTGTTTTTATTTTGCTTCCTTATGTTCCAAATCATCTATTTGATTCTCACCTTCATTTCTTCTACTGTTGTTTCCATGTATTGTTATTTATTTCAATTAGTGTATCCTTTGTTTCTGACTGGATCTTTTTTATGCTGCTGAGGTCCTCACTAAGTTCCATGAGCATCCTTATAAACAGTGTTTAGAACTCTCCATCTGATAGATTGCTCATCCCCATTTCCTTTAGCTCTTTTCTGGAGTTTTGATCTGTTCTTTCATTTGGCTCATGTTTCTTTGCCCCCCCCCCCTTATTTGGGCAGCCTCCCTGTGTTTGTTTCTATGTATTAGGTATAGTTGCTGTGACTCCATCTTGGTAGCGTGTCCTAATGTAGTAGTTGTCCTGTAGGGTCCAGTGGCACAGATTCCCCTATTACCCAAGCTGTGTACTTGAGGTGCACCCTTTGTGTGGGTGGCTGAGTACCCTGTTTTTGTAGTTGAGGCTTGGTTGCTGTTGGCAGATCAATGGGAGGAATTTACCTAGGCCAGTCAGCTGCAAGGACTGGCTGTGACCATTGACCACCAACCTTTGCTCTCTGTGGAGATCAACTGTGCAGCGGCAGGATGTTGGTGCTCTGACATGGTCTGTAGCTGTCCACTGGGCATACAGGCTCTGGGGTTTCCTGGGTGGTGCAAGCCAATGTCAGTCCCCACCTGTATTCTATCCAGGGCCACCCTGCTTGAGCTACAAAGCATCTGAGATGCTACTTATTCTGGGCTTGGAGATTCCCAGGCAAAGCCAAGCTGTGAATCTGAGTTGGCTGCTGTGAGTGCTGTGGCTGGGGCCACTTAACAAGAGATACAAGGAGTCTGGACTCACTGAGTCTGACTGTTGCTTGTTTGAGAGGATTTAGGAGGTTGTGAAGCATGAGCCAAAAACAGCCTTTCATATGGAAAAGCCACTGTCAATAGCTGTAATTTGGGTGGGACAGAGCCTCAGGGCATCTCCGGGGTGGAACAAACAGTGTTATACAGGTTGATGGAGTCTCAGATATGGCAACTGCCTGCCAGCTCTGTGGCTCTGTGTGGGGAGTATTAAGAAAAAGGATAATGGCCTCTGCCTCCCTATCTGTCTGGGAGGATGCTGTCCCCTAGCTCTCACCTTGATGCCAGACAGTTCAGTTCTTCTCTGTATGCTACTGATGCCTTTCTTTCTGCTACCCCAGTGCTAGAACTCAGAGGGAGTGAGTCTGAGTAAGTCCGTGTATGAATTGTTTAAGAGGAACTGATGGGTCTCCAGAAGTTTCTTTCACTGACTAAGTCCCTGATAGTTTTTGCAGCCAGAAGTTATGGGTATTTTTCTTCCTTGCACTGGAACTCTGGGCTGGGGTGCCTGGTACGGTGCTGGGACCTCTTGCACCCAAGATATCCCTCCTGAATTTTTACCCACCATACATGAATGTGGGATCAGCTTGTTCCACATTTCTGCTCCTCTTACTAGTCTGGATGGATGTGGTTTCCTTAATTCCGTAGCTGTCAGACTTCCATTCAACTCAATTTCTGATGGTTCTGAGTAATGGTCATTCTATAATTTAGCTGTAATTTTGATGTGGTTGTGCAAGGAGGCAAGTTGCATTTCTCTATGCTGCCATTTTGACTGGAAGTCAAAATTTAACAATTTTGCTACAAACTTTTTAGGCTAAAACTCCTTGTTTTGTATTCAAAATTTATGCTTCCTTTGCTCAAGTTTCAAATTACTTGCAATCTTGTCACTGGACCTCAACACAACCTCCAGGGAGAGCTGGCTCCCTTAGTTCTCCAACATCACATGCAGGCCCTCCGAGCTGAGCTTAGGCATTCCCACTCCTGAGAGAATTCAGTGGTCACATCCTGGAATGACAGCCATCCCTGAGAAAGAGCCATTGCTGAACCCTCTCTCTTTTCTCTTCCTCCTCTTCTGGGCTCCTTCCTTAGGCAGCAAGAGCCTTTAGAACTCAATCTGAAAGGTGTGGCCATGTGGGCTCAAGGCTGAGAAGCTGAGGGTAGGGAGCAGTCTCAGAGTCATTTTAAACCCCAAGGGAAGTGCCTAAGAGTCTCTCAGCACAACCTGAACTTAGATCGGGGAGGGATGGCTGAGGGGATGTCAAGGCCCGTGATGACTGCCAGACCTTGTATGAAGAAGGGGGCTGTGAAATGGAGGTTCAAACTAAAAAGACAGAATCTCACACCCCACAGGGTGAACTTCGCTCATGGCTCTTGGCTTCCTCATCCGTAGGAAATGGCACTTGGAGGGAGAAGGCAGGATGTACCAAAAGTTTAAAAAATATAAATGCTTGAATACTCTGGGTTTTATATAATGGTATATATGGCAGTTTGTGCTTTCCAAAGATGGCCACACTAATATATATCCTAGCCCACATGGTTTTCTGACAATGTGATGCCAACCTTCTTCTTTCAGGATGTACAAGCTACATTTCCTCCACTTGGGTGGAACTTTATAACTACATTAACCAATAGATTATGAGGGAAGGCATGGTGTATGATTTCCAAGGCTAAGTCATGCAAAACATTGCAGCTTTTACATTAGCCTTTGGGATTGGTTGCTCTTGGAGAAGCCAGACACCATAACATAGGGACAAGAAGAGTGCCTTGTAATGAGGCCCCTGTGAAAAGGAACTGAGGCCCCTAGCTAGCCAGCATCAACCTGCAAGCCTTGTGAGTGAGTCCCCTTGGAAATGGGTCCTCCTGCCCCCACCAAGCCTTCATGTGACTGCAGCTGCCTAAGAGTCCAAGTGACGAGTGTGCAGTGGGGCCCTTCCCAATGTTCTAACCAACACAAGCCCTGCAAGAAAATAAGCAATTATTGTTATAAGCCACTAAGTCTGGGTGTAATTTGTTATGTGGCATTAGATAACTTACATGGTATACTAGTAATAGAGGTCTATAAGTGAATGTAGGTAGCAAATTGGGCAAGGTAGGGATAAAAATAGTATCCAATGAGAGATGTGAAAGGTGGACAAATTTTACTAATAACTGCAAATAGAATGTTTCAATATCCATATTTTAGGTTAGTTTTTTCCATTAACAAAACAGCATTATCTTAGTAGTCAAAATTATTCACTCCTGAATCTTACCTTGAAATCCTGCTCATCCTCATATAGTAAGTATTTCAAATCAGAGGCTCCAAACTCTGGACATGAGCTAACTTCATCTGCTTCCAGATGCTGGTCAGATCTGACGCTATCCTCATGACTCAGCTGTAAGGCACTGATCTGAACTGATGAGCTCATCATGTCTTTACTTTCTACTTCTGTGGGCTCCAATTTGGACTCCTCTGGGATGAATGAAAATAAATTAATTATGTATATATTTTGGACAGATAAAAATAAACATATAATACATACTTTGTCACATGTGTAATTTGAAAGACCTTTGAGAATCTCCTATGGGAGATGAATTTGAGAATAAGAAATGTAGAATCTATGTATTAATGTTAGAGTGAACCCCATTATCTGAAATGCTATCTAGGTTGTATTTCCTTCTGTTGGTGAATAAGTTACAGTGGTCATGGGAAACTTTGTGTGTGTTGGTATTTTGGTTGGTTGGCTAGGTTGGAAACCACACCAGTGTAGAAAATGCAGCATCCTTTTCCAACAGTATCTATGTAATTCCCTGTGAAACATGGTGACTTCAATGTGAAAATAGGACAGGAGAAAGAAGACAGGTTAAGACAAGTGCTACAAGAACAGAAGGAATATGGAGAAGGTGGTGTCTATCTATTCCCTGAACAGTTCTTGCATATGAAGTGTCTGTTCATAATAGATGCTCAATAAGTGTTTAAAAAAATAACCATTACAATAAAATAATACCTATATATATTTCTGGCAACTCCAAAGGCATTTCTTCAGGTGGTACTTCCTGTCCAGCTGCTTGGGTAAGATATAGTTGCCTAAAAGAATAAATAAGAAAAGTGGTCTGTCAGTCAACAAACACCATGCTACTGGCTCACTGGTGTCTATCCCTCTTCTAGGTGCTAGAGACACATAAGTGAAGATGAGACACAGTTTCTATCCTTGAGGTGTATAAGACCCAGTGGGGTGGCAGGCAGTCTTACAGTATTTTAGGGTGATGGTTTGTGCCATGATGGGTCTTGGGGTGAAGGAAGGCCATTCCATGACAAGAGAATAACACACCATAAAGTCCCAGAAATGAGAGTGAGCATGACACTGGTTAGGTCACTGTTGTAGTAATCCAGGTGAGTAATGTGAGTGGCCTCGATGGGATGGTTTTAAAATAAAGAGAAAAAGAGAAAGAGCAAGCCATAGGAATCCAAGATGACATCTAGGCTCTGGCTTTCACTGAGTGGCGTGCTTCAGCTACAAGGCTGGTGAGCTCCACCCGCAGATACAGCTCTCTGCTGCCCTTTTCAGAGCCCCACTAAATTTTCAATCAGAAAATAGAATGCCCTGAAAGCTCTGTATGGCCTTTCCATGAGGTTTGCACGAGCAATGGGGCCCCTGAAGGTATGTAAACAACCCCTCCTGTTTAGCAGCTCAGCACCAAAGCACCTGGTTTACACCTGTCAGTTATTTACAGGACATGGATAAAGTGTTATTCAAAATGCTGAAAGCTCCAAAAAATAATATAACTATTACATAAAATATTTATACCTGTAAACCTTCTTCAGACTTAACTCGGCAAAGGTTAGTTTCATATGTAGCTCTGGTCTGCTGGTATACATGACTCAGGCCATAGAATTCTTTTTTTTTTCTTTTTTTTTATTAGTTATGCTATTGCAGCTTTCCCAATCCCACCCCCCCCTTATCCTCCCTCCACACTGCATCACCCAACCCTCCAGCATTCCCCCCGTCCTTAGTTCACGTTCATAGGTTGTACATATAAGCTCTGTGGGTCCTCTGTTTCCTACATCATTTTTTATCTCTCCCCATCTATTTTATGCCTACTAATTATGCTTCTTCTTCCCTGTATCTTTTCCCTCCTATTCCTCCCTTCCTCCTCTCCAATGAACTCCCTCTGTGTGATGTCCATTTCTCTGATTCTGTTCCTGTTCGGGTTGTTTGCTTAGTTTTTGTTTTCGTTCTTCTAGGTTCATTTGTTGATAGTTGTGAGTTTGTTGTCATTTTACTGTTCATATTTTTTATCTTCTTTTTCTTAGATAAGTTCCTTTAACATTTCATATATTAAGGGCTTGGTGATGATGAACTCCTTCAATTTGACCTTACCTGGAAAGCACTTTATCTGTCCTTCCATTCTAAATGATAGCTTTGCTGGATAGAGTAATCTTGGATTTAGGTCCTTGCCTTTCATGACTTCAAATACTTCTTTCCAGCCCCTTCTTGCCTGTGAGGTTTCCTTTGAGAAATCAGCTGATAGCCTTATGGGAACTCCTTTTTCTCCTTATCTCTGTCTCCTTATCTCTTGCTGCTCTTAGAATTTCTCTTTGTCTTTAATCTTGGGTAATTTAATGATGGTAGGCCTTGGTGTGTTCCTCTTTGGTCCAACTTCTTTGGGACTCTCTGGGCTTCCTGGACTTCCTGGAAGTCTATTTCCTTTGTCACATTGGGGAACTTTTCCTTCATTATTTGTTCAAATAAGTTTTCAATTTCTTGCTCTTGTTCTTCTCCTTATAATTTGGATATTGGAATGTTTCAGATCGTCCCAGAGAACCCTCGGCCTCTCTTCATTTTTTTTGATTCTTGTTTCTTCATTATAATCCAGTTGGATGTTTGTTTCTTCCTTATGTTCCAAATTGTTGCTTTGAATCCTGGTTTCCTTCTTGTCACTGTTAGTTCCCTGAATATTTTGCATTATTTCATTTTGTGTATCTTTCATTTGTTCTTTCATTTTTCGACCAAGCTCAATCTTTTCTGTGAGCATTTTGATTACCAGGGCTTTAAACTCTCCATCAGATAGGTTGGCAATTTCCTCATCACTTAGTTCTCTTTCTGAGATTTTGCTGTGTTCCTTCATTTGGGCCATATTTCTTTGTCTTGGTGCAGCTGGTAAGTTGTAAGGGGGTGGGGCCTTAGGTATTCACCCAGGCAGGGCAACCCTCTTTGCTGAGCTGCTGGTCTGGTTGTTCTGATTGATTTTTTTTTTAATTCCTTGGTTGTTGGAGTTCCATGCAGTTTGATGTTCTGGCAATTTTGGTTGTTTATTGATTTTAGATTGGTTGTTATCCTCCTTTTGGTTGTGCGAGAAAGCAAAGTTGTTTCTACGTACACCTCCATCTTGGCCAGAACTCCAGGCCATAGAATTCTCTTCTGGTTTTACCACTTTGAATAATTAAGATCTTACTAAGTGCCATAACTATTGTAAATCTGTTTCTCTTCATCATTAGTTTATTGTCACTTACATATGACCATAGGGCAGCAATGCTTGATATTTAACAATATAGAAAATACTTTAAAACATGTTATTATATGAAGTTAGTGTTAGAAAGATTTGTAGGTATTAGTCCACTTAGCCTCAACCCTGCGACAGCTGAGTTCCTGGGCAGTTACCTCTGGGTGGCATTCACCTCATCTAATGAAGCAAACAAATGCTGTGGCATTCTGTGTGAATTGTGAAGGGAAAATGTTGGGGGAACTCTGGATGGCAAATGGAGTAATCACTCCATTACCTAGAAAACCCCATTCTTCATCCAAATATGAAAATAGAACTTTTTATATGTCCACCGAGGACAGTTATGCCTATTTCTCAGCACACTACTAGTATTATACAGTACTCAATTCTCAACAAAAGAGGCAAAAGAGCAATTGCCATGAAATGTACAATATGTATTACATTTCTTTGACTTAAAAATGGGTACAGTAATAGCTCCTGAATATATATATAAGGTTTTCCTCTGGATAAAAAGTGTAACTGTTAAGTGTTTCCTCTGTTTCTTTCTGGAGATTTTTCTAAAATGTTCTAAAAAGTTGCCTCAGTGAGTTTACAGTCTAGCAAGGAAGCAGACATTAAATGAGGAATCACCAGTGGGATGAAATGATGGTTACAAGGGGAGAGTTTGGGGTGCTACCACAGCACGCACTGGGGCACCTAACCCAGTTCTTACAAACGTGTCCCATGCTGTTCCTTTTTCTTTGGACAGCTATTGATTTAATTTCTCCCAACTCTGAAGCAAGACTAAGCACTCATGTCTGCCCCTCAAAAAAGCCAAACCACAGAGCATTGATGACAAATGTGGATTTTACTGAAGATTTTTGTGGGGAAGACAGAGGATAGGGTAAAACTGCACATGACACAACAAACAAGTTAATGAAAATCCCCATTAAAAGTTTCTCATCTCCTTTCCTGTCCTTGACACGTTTTCTTTGGTCAGTGAAAGAATTCCCCTTTGTTATAGTTGGCACTTCACATTCTCATCAGCACCAAATCAGATACACCAGACTGAGCTGACTGAAGTAGGAAGTGGGGCTGGACACTTACAGGGTAGCTCTTTTCTAAGGTTTGGCTGGTTCAGAAAGGAGGTCAGTAGACAGCAGGTGGAGCAATGGTTAGAAGCCACAACACCAGCAACAGCTGGCAGAGATTAGACATGATTACACAGAAGGGGACAGTTAGGACAGGTAGCAAGGATTAGAGCTGAAGCAGGAGGGCGGTGCTGGAGACCTGATCATAGAGAGGAGGGCAGGCAAGAGAGAGCATTGCCTTTTGGGGGACAATGAGGCTCCACCTGCTAGGGGCCCTCAAGGGCATCAGCTTAAGAGCTTCTGGCAATACAGAAGTCCACCAAACAACCAGTTCATTCAGCTTGACTGCCCGCATCACCTACAATGGTATTTTCCTCTCCAGGGCCTCTTTCTCTATCCTGCCCCACCCAGTTTCTCCCTATGAAGTAAGTGCACTATCTTTCCATTTCTCCAATCTTGTATCCTGACCCCTATCCCTTAACCCACCAAACAAAACCCTTACAACTTACCTGCATCCACCCTTCTTGGGACACATTAGGAAGTTCATAAACAATTCTTTATTGTACTCAAATAGTATTTTTCTACACCACACAAGCAACTACTTGGGTGGAAATGTTTTCCTGGCCCTTCCACTGTGTGGAACTTCTTTGCCTTCATTCCTAGATGCAGACATTTCTCTCCCATCTTGCACACATACATCCTATATTTGTGTGATTTCTTCCCCCTCTCTGCCTAAACATGCTACTATTTAGATTATTTCTTATTTCTGACTACTTGTCTAAATCATAAATGCCACTTTGAGTTTTAGTTCCATCATATTCAGGGCCCTGGTTTTCCATCAAAATTGGTGTATAAAGAAGTCTTTGTCAGGTAAGAAAAAACCTACAATACAAAGTCATGTACACATGTGGTTTCTCTTGTGCAGATATAAATGTGACTTTGAATGCCAGGCTATTTTCTCTGCCTAGAAAGTAGTTTGACTCTTCTATTAAGTATCAAAGGAAACAATTCTATCTTCTACAAAGTAACTAGAAACCCAGAACACTTCCAGGAAGCTGCCACAAAACTGATCACTCTCTCGTTTGTGCAAACTTCGTATCTCATACACCTTCTGCTGCACTGTTCTGCATTTATTTTGATTCCCATATTCCCTGTTGGCCTGGAGGCTTCTGAAGGTCACCACTTGTGGCATTCATAGTAAGTGTTGGCTATTATGACTACAGTGTATTGCTAGAAAAAGCAAGTCAAAGTTTGCACTGTACCAGTGGTCGATTGTATTAATAATATACCTTCATCATGCCCATTTTGTGGGTTCCTTTCTTTTCAACTACTGCAATTTGACTGGAGCATGAAAGAATTAAATCATCCTTAAAAACAGCTTTTTACAGTTACAAATATTTACCAAATACTTTCTAGCTATGTCAATAAGTTTCACCTGGGTATTTTGAGATCCACAAGTCTACAGTTGAATAGTTGATCAATGAGCACCAAATTTTCTTCTTCCAGTTTATGAATAGCTTTTTCCATTATTTCAACCTCCTTCCTATGATTTGCAACCTGTTCTCAGAAGAAGAGAATGGATGGTTGGCACTTGTTTAGTTTTATTTAGTCTTCTATGAGCAATTCAACTCCTAAAATTGCTTTTGCCTGAGAGGAAGATCTATGCTGCATTATTTATTACTGGGTTTGCTTTGTTTTTCCTCTCTAGAAAGGAATGGATGTGACTCTTTTCCAGGTCATGTGCACAACTTGTTTGCAGGGTTAGGCAGCTGTTACTGAATGGCAGTAGTTGTCCTTTCCTACTCTCTAAAAACTTTACCTATAGACGAGGCTATAGGCAGAGATAAGAAAATAAGATTAATTAATTATCAGTATGGTATATTAATAGCTAAATGAGGATATATATGTATATAAGGTTAATTATAAACAACACAGAAAACTAATAATACTGGGAAAAAAGTAAGTTATGATATTTTAAACAAGTATAGGTCTAGAGCTCTTTCTATAAGCCACTGTAATATAATTTTATTTTCTTTTGGTACTGAGGCTGTTGTGAGAAATATCAGGTAGATGAAATATTATTCATTCATTCATTCAATTATACAATATGTCTACTATGTGTCAAAAACTATAGTACACTTTTTTAAAAAGAATCATCAAGATAAAATAGCCTTTCAGTGTCTCTTGGCCTACTGAGAAAGAGAGGGTGATAAAAACAGGAGAGTGTGTGATAAAGCCATAGGAAGCTGTCCAGGTGTGGTGGGAGGAGACACAGGCTCAGCCCGTGTCTGCCAGGTGTCAGCGGTGGAGGGTAGTGAGGGAGAATTAACAGAATTCTTTTTTAAGATTTTATTTTTTTATTTATTTTTAAAGAGAGAAAGGAGGGAGATAGAGAAAGAGAGAAACATCAATGTGCGGTTGCTGGGGGTCACGGCCTGCAACCCAGGCATGTGCCCTGACTGGGAATTGAACCTGCGACACTTTGGTTCGCAGCCTGTGCTCAATCCACTGAGCTACGCCAGCCAGGGCTAGAATTAACAGATCTTGAAGGCTATGTAGGGTTTCCCTAGGTAGAAAGGAGACTGTACGTTCTAGGCAGAAGGAACTACATATGTAAAAGCACAATTATTCTTGTGCGGCTAGATACAAAGTGGGAATCGGAAGAAGTAGGAGGAGAACTGGACAATGAAGGAAGAGGCAAATAATGTTAAAGAGTCTGGCTTTTGTCTTGCAGGTGATGGAAGGTCATTAACAGGCAGTAGTATGACTAATTCAAATATGAGCGAAATTTGCTGGCTACCTTGATACAGTTCTGATCAGTTCTTAAAAAGTGTATTTTGATAACTTCTGTCTAAAGATGGCTTGATAGTAGGAAGAATATATAGAAAAATGTTACCAGATAAATCTGCAACTCACCTCTCTCCCTCCCGAAATGGGAAAAATTAATGTATCTTGAGGAAACATGAGACAAGAAAGCCGTGGGGGTTAGATGCAGTATCTCTTGTTAGGAGTTGCCCAGAGTGTAATGAAGATGAGTACTTAGAAAGAGATGAGTAACATCTTTGGTTTGTAATTGAGTTTTAATTATTGTGTTTTAGAATCTGGAAGGATTCAGTGTATGACTACATGCATACCTCTGTCACATAAGTCATTTATTAAATGCTTGAATTCTTACTATGACAAGGTTCTGCGCTAGATGTAGAGGGATACAACAGCGAATTAGGCATGGCTTCTCTCAAGAGAGTCTATAATCCAGGGAACAAATATGCAAATAATTATAATATAAAACAATACCAGTGTCATAGAAATGCTCAAATATTACTGTGGCTTTGAGTTAGAAAGAAGAGCATGTATTATCCACCTGCCTTAAATAATTTAGCAACACCATTAAGTCCATAATACTAGATTACAAAGCTAGGGGTTAGTGCTTTAGGATCACATATGTTGATTACAAGCTTGGTCACAAGCTTGAATGCCTTAAGGAAACATTTATAATTTTTAAACGTCAAGGGATGAGAAAAATTATAGAGTTATACACAGAAGGAATGAATAGAACATTTGGAAATGTTTGACCTAAGGGCTTGGCATGCTTGGGAGGCAGCATACACAGTTCTTGGTCTCGTTCCAAACCTGGGAATGAGGGCCCTTTCAGGGAGTTAAATCCAACCTTTCAAACTAAGGATATCTGATGACATCACCTACCCCTTTAGAGCAATAAGTAAGGTACTCATAAGGTGCTGTCTCCTTCCCAGCCTTTTGAATATTAGGAAAATGGAAACTAGTTTCTTTTATAACCAAACAGATACATTTAGATTTTCTGGAGTAAGAAAGTGAAGAGGAGGAAGTAGAAGACCACCTTTCCTTCCTGACCCTGCTCTTCCCCAAATACACAAGAAAGGTACTTAAGAAATTGAGACAGATAATTTACTTAAAACTTAATAGTTAATAATTTAGTCAAGGATCTAGGATCCCGAAAAAAATGTATGTTCTTGAAATTTTCCCCTGCAAAATCCAAATTAGCATCATGCCTCCTCACACTTGAAATGCTGATTGCTAACCTGTTTGCATCCTTTCATCTAATTTTTCTGGCTTTCCATTTAAGTCAGTCTAAATTGCTTAGAAATTTCAGTTTTCTTCATTTTCCTCTTTAGCATGCTAAATAAAACCAGGCAATGAAAGGCATGCACTAGGACATCTCGTGGCCACCCCAGAGGTCTAAGCTTTTGGTTACTGTCCAGAGAGAGTTAAATGAAGAAATATTTTCAGGAGTTCCATTATTAAGTATTCCTGTTACTGATTCAAAATCTTCCTCAAAGAGATTAATTTCTTTAATAAATATATAAATTAGAACACACAGATTGTTCTTTATCCAGGAAGTTTTCAATTCTCTTGATAGAACTTATATCTAGAAATGGCTTTAATTAATTTTGTGAGTAAATTTAACAATGCTAAAATGAATATTTATTGAAATAAAGATAATCTATTAATTTCCTTAAAATAATTTGTCTTTTATTACTAAGCTCTTTTTGCTCATTATTCAATTAAACTTGACATTTTTTTCTGTCTTTTACTTCCAGAGAAGTAAAAATATAAAATGAAATGAAATGTCATTTGTGGCTTGAGTAGGAAAGATCAAGGCACAAACAGGCTTACTTATTAGTCAAATATAAATTTTTATGATAATTTCTCTAAAGCTAATATCTATGACATCTTATAAAATATAAGATTTGAACTGTTAAATTATCACTAGAATCATACTATTGATTTAATAAAAGTACTAAATACCTTCCTAATATTTTTAAACTATTGAGTCCCCCTTAAGTTTTTTAATTAATACTTGTTTTTGAAGTTAAAATTGTTTGATAATTTTAGAGCAATCAAAATACAACATAAAAATGGTATTTTGGTTATACAAAGAGCTTATATGACTCCACTCTAAGAAGACAAGCAACCCAATTAAAAAATGGGAAAAGGACTTGAATAGACACTTCTCCAAGGAGGACATACAGAAAATCCAAAGACACATGAAACAATGTTCAATATCGCTAGCTATCAGAGAGATGCAAATTAAAACCACAATGAGATACCACTTCACACAAGTCAGAATGGCCATCATAAACAAAGCAACAAACAACAAGTGTTGGAGAGGTTGTGGAGAAAAGGGAACCCTAGTGCACTGTTTGTGGGACTGCAGACTGGTATAACCACTATGGAAAACAGTATGGAATTTCCTCAGAAAACTGAAAATGGATCTGCCTTTTGACCCAGCAATTCCATTGCTGGGATTATATCCTAAGAACCCTGAAACACCAATCCAAAAGAACCTATGCACCCCAATGTTCATAGCAGCACAATTTACAATAGCCAAGTGCTGGAAGCAACCTAGGTGACCATCAGTAAATAAATGGATCAAAAAACTATGGTACATTTACACAATGGAATTCTCTGCAGCAGAAAGAAAGAAGGAGCTCCTACCCTTTGCAACAGCTTGGGTGGAGCTGGAAAGCATTGTGCTAAGTGAAATAAGCCAGGCAGTGAAAGACAAATACCATATGATCTCACCTTTAACAGGAACCTAAACAACAAAACAAACAAGCAAAATATAGCCAAAGATACTGAAATAGAAGACAGGTTGACAGAGACCAGAGGGGAGAGGGGAGGGAATTTCAGGGGAATTTCAGGGGAGAATGGGAAGGGTTTACAGGAACAAACACAAAGGACACATGGACAAAAACTAGGGGCGGGGGTGGAAATGGGAGGGAGGTGGGGAGGGAGGGAGGGGTGGGTGGGCTAGGATGGGAGTAAAGAGGGAATGATTAAAATAAAATTGGAAGGAAAAGAAAAGAATGGTATTTTGGTGTCTAAAAGCAATCATTGTATTTTAACCTTTTATGTCATTCATTTTAAGTTAATGGCTAACTTAAAAACTGAGTTTTAATCAAAGCTGCTTTCCAACCTTGTCATAATATTGCTTTGAAAAGTTATACCACTGGTAGTAGCCATTGCTTCTCTTCTCTGCTTTTGCTCTTTCTCACTTGCTAAATTATGGTTTTTGTGAAGCCAGTGTTAGATTCATCTTGAGCTTCCAATGACGGCTGATGTTCTTTCTGCTCTTCTCCAAGGCACTTGTTTTGCATCTTATTGGCACTTATTTGCATCTTATCCAGAGTGATGCTAGGATCCCTCTGATTTTCTTGAAGTACTTTTGGACACTTTCTATTCTGTTCCTGTTAGGTGTTTCCATATTAGTTCCTGTGTCTGAGCTTTTATTTCCTTTTCTACAGCTGTTTTCCTAAATTTGTTGAAGAGCTCATCTGAGGATTTCAGTACATCTGAAGTTTTGACTGGTTTGCCTAAACTTCTCCAAGAGTCTGCATTCTTGATTTTTATATCCTTGTGCACAGGAACCTGACACTCAGATTTTAATACCACCGTGTCATCAGCAGACCGATGCATCACAGGCCATTCTGGTGTTCAAAATTGCCTGAGGAGGCAGGGTTTGCAAAGGTGAAATACATTTCACACTCTGTAAATGTTTTAATTCTTGATGCTTAAATGCTAACTGTTAGTGATTTGGTGGTGTTCATCAAACTGATGAACAAGGGCAGTTGAACAAGGGGTTGCATCTTGTATAGAAAATTGTGTCTCTACTTCCTCTCTAAAAGGAGAATCATTCTGTTTAACTCCAGTGAATGTAGGTAACATTTCTGATTCGAAATCACTGCTACTGCTTTCAAACTCTGATGAGCTGCTGCTGCTGCTGCTGCTTTCACTCAGTCAGGAACACTTCCAACAGCCTTGGATGACAGAGTGTTCTCAGACTTTGTTTTATGTTTTATGGAATTTAACTGATTATCAACATCCAAGTTTTCCAGCTCCTGTTGTTTTCTATGAATGAAGCTCTTCTGCGGTCTTCATTATTTTCTTACCATGAGGTTTCAGTGGTCATTTTCTTAGACATGCAGCTACATGTTTTTCTAGTTCTCTCAGTGTTGTTGCTTTCAGTGTTTCAAAGTCCATTTCTCCAACTCATCAGGGTTGGAATTATTTGGTGAAGGCTCTCTTGATTGTATTACATGAACGAGTCTCCCAAGTTTATCTCCAGGGAGTTTGCTTATATCCACATTTAATTGCCTTTTTTCATCATAGTTCATGGGTTTAGCATTATCTTTATCCTCAGATTTCAGAGCGAAGACCTCTTGTTTCCTTCTGAAGACCTTCTTTGGCTGATTGCTCTTGGACTTTTCATTTCACTTGCTTAAACTTTCTTTTTGGATTTTCATCTCTGTTATTAACCATTTTTTTCTTTCCCCTTTTAGATGTCTCATTCTTTTTCTTTATCTTATGGAAAGGTACTTGGGACAAAACTTGTGGTTATTTGATGAACAGCTTTAAGCTGCTCCTGAAGCTTTTTAAGACCCTAAACTCATTCATCTTCAGAATCACCAGAAGAGTTACTTTCAGAAGAAGCTTCACTACTGCTTTCTCTACAAAGGGATTCTGTGGTGTCTGTTTTGATGTAACATACAGGCATACTCTGGACAGGTTCATCTGTGGTCTTTGCAAAATGCATTTCAAAAACATCCTAGAGCATCCTTGCCAGTCACTACTTCATGATCTGAAGCGTTTGTTGCAATTCATGAACGTTAATCTAATATCTGCAGCAAATTCATCCTTATATTCTTGGTTATCCATTTTTGCCTGACAGTTTCCAGATCCATTGGATTTTTCACAGTATCATAGTGACTGAAGTTATGAAGTCCTACCACATTAACATCAAGGGATTATAAAAGACCCATGAATACAAAAAGTGCTTCTTTACAAGGATTTCTTTAAGAATCTTACTACAGTGCCTTAATTGTTCTGTTACTCTAACACTTTTCACAGAAACTTTATATTATTGCTGAGAATCTGGTAAAACATTCTTCAGCAGTTCTTTTATAGGAGGTGTTTTTGCTGACTTTTTTTCTGTATGTGCTAGGGAACATTTCACCCCTAGCTTTAACTACTGAAGCTATAGGAGTTGTGTCTGCTTTCCTCTTCACACACCTTGTAACCTGAGCCACCAGGAGGTAAAGTTGGGTAGAGTACCTTGTGCCAGATGTAAAGGAGAGATAGATGTTTTAGGAATTACAAAGGACTCACTTGCTGCTTAAATACTTTTCCCAATGCTTCAGGGAACTTTTTCTTTAACAGAAGAAACTGCTAACATTCTGCTGATTGCCTTTCTTTATTCTTTCCTTACCACCCACAACTTGCTCTTCTTATGGCATCCAAAATAATTTCTGCCTAAACAACTCTAGTGCTTGTGTCATAAGAAGAATGTCATCTCCAGGCTTGCTGTAGAAATAATTTTAGAACATTGTGTTCTATACATTCTGAAGCCTGCACATAATACTTATGTTCTAAGTGCTTCTTAACTGTACGTAGCCCATTGGGTTCTTTAAAATGGTAAATAATCAGGCAACTTTAGTCTCACAGAAGGCACTGGCTGCCGAAAGGCCAGGAAAATCTGTGCTTCCATAAAGCCTTCACTACAACTTTTCAAAGATATTGCAGCTGATTTGTCAATCACCTGTTTGTCTTAGTATTTGTATACTCTGGTGGTGAAGGGTTAACAATGGCTGTGTGTCCACTCAGCAGAGACATTCTTAACTGCTTCAAGTCCTGATATTTGAATATTGTTGTGTTACAAGTACATATCCATTTCCTATACAAGTACTAAAAGCTCTTTCATTATGTTTGCCTTAGTTTTGGATGATTTAAGTTATTGCAATCTTTCACTGTATTTCTTTCAGCCTTTCTAAAGCACAAATCGGGGGCTAGAAGGGAAAGCCTATAAGTTCCCCTTGTGAAAAGGATCTTGTCTGGCCGTCCCCTTCAGCTGGCGCAAGGTGAAGTGGGGCAGGGAGGGCTTCTCCACTGTCTGACAGGGCCCGCTCTTGCCCTCATGGCAGCTCAAATTAATACATATTTTTAAAGATTAGGGATTCACCTTGATAGTTTTTGGAGGTAGTGTGGACCATGACTTTATAAAGGCAATTTAAAAATAATTGTCATATCATAGAAATGTATCATAGAAAGCATATTAATTTTTAAATTTCTTATTTCATAGACTCACTAACTCTATTTAGTCAAATAAGGAGCAAGGAAAAAGGAAGAGGAGAAAGGTGGCAGTGACATTTTTACCTCAGGTATCTGAGCAGACAGTGCAAAAGGCAATGCAGAAAGAGAAAATTTAAGGAGAAATTTAATGAGTTCTGCTTTAGGTATGTGGAGTTTGAAGTGCCTTTGGGATATCTGACTGGAAATGTTTGGCAGACAAAATAAATATAGAACCAGGGCTAAGGACACACACAAATTAGTGCTGAAGATGTGCCTTGAGAAACACAAGCTAATAACTTGCTCACAAGAGCTGTGTGTAGTTGAAGTGAATTCTCTCAAAAGATAGTGAGTTTCCTTTCACAGATGGCATCTAAGCTTAAGTTCATTGTCTACTTGGCTGGGTGTAAAGGGAATTTCAAAGTACTGCAGTGAGCTTTGCTCAACCTTGCAGCACCCCCGTAACATCTAGACACAAGATTATGTTCCTGTTTCACTCAGCAACATGCTCTCATATCTTCACCCAAGATGTGAGCCATATATTTGATTCACTCTTCCAATAAATATATCTATACTCATGGACATTCTTTCATCTAATAACTATTTAATGAGCATAGATTATTCATTAAGTTTCATGGGTATATAGTTGAAAAGGCATGGCCTACTCTATGCCATGAAGAGACAGATGCATAGACAGACAATTTCAACACATTTCATAAAGTGAGAGTTACAGTGAAACAAGAGCACTGTGAGGAAAGCACTTAAGACTTCCTGCGTGGAGTTATAAAGTGATTCATGAAGAAATTGACAATCAAGTGTTTAAAGAAAGAGCTGAAGTTTTCCAGGCAGATGAGGAAAAGGAGGTAAGGGCTTAGGGACTAGCACAGGCAATGCAAGGAAAACAGGGAAGCACCCCATAGTAAAGGAGATCTAGAGGCCCCCACATGATCATATCTAACAAGAACAGGGTTTCAGCCCTGGTACAGGGAGACAGGCGGACAGCTGGGTGCACGAGTTCCTGCCTGCTCTCCAGGAGAAGGTGTGGAGGGAGCCTGAGCATCAGGCTGAAGCGGGATGTAGAGACTGCAGTGGGCAGGGATATCTTGACCACTGGCAAATGGCTGTAACTCTGGGTTTGGTGTTGGCTGCAACACAATGTCCACAAGGCCAGAGCAGTCCATTTAGAAGTCACCAGGGCAGGGAGTAGCCGAAAGTACTCCCTGCACAGCAGAAGGGCAGAGGGAGGGAGGATCTAGAGGAAACCCCCTAGACCTGAGCTCTTTTTACCAACACTCCCCACAAGAGGGCATGTAAACCCCACCTCCCCACACAGCCAGGGTTGTCTTAGAGGAGTGCAGGGAGGGGAGAAAATCTAAAAGACCGAACATTTATCTGAAGGAGACCATGTTATCCCAAAGAGGCAATTCATAGCAACAGGCAATAAAGGTAGAGTGACCCTTTATCCTTGCTGCCGTCCCTCAGAAGGTATCAGGTCCTGAGGAAGACCAGGTCAATTTTAGGGCATTCAGAAGCTTTGTATATTTGAGTATATTTCGTGAATTGTGACACCAAAAGTGATTTCCGGTTATTACTGAAATTATTTATGGTATTCGTTGAATAGCAGTTTGTACTAAGACCCCACTTGGGTTTTAGTTTACCTCAGTTGGTGACAGTTCTGTGCTTTCCCCATGACTGCAGCTGACAGAGAAAAGTCATCTCCAGTTCAAAAAAATGAGAAAAATAAACTGTTTTTTTAAATTCCACTTACCTCTTTTTTCAGCCAGTCATTCTCCCAGATATGTCGATAGTTACCCTTGTCAATGAACTTCACAGCATTCTAAAAGAAAGTTTCTCTATTAAGGAGGAATTGCCACAAAGTGATTCACAATTTTAGCAATGATGATACACAACCAACTTATCTGATTGTTCATTTTAAGTTATGTTTTGCACATAGTTTGGAAACATATCTAAGAACTCATGGTTCAGCTGTTCTTTCTTTACTATCCTACTGGATTGTTTTTACCAATTTACTCTTCCCACAAAGGTGCTTCAGAGAACTGGACAATGGCTGCCCAGGCAATTTAGTCTCTATTGTGACTGAGTCCAACTGCCGTGTTGAAATCAAATCAGTAGGTGATCTGATACACAATTAAGATGGTTAAACGGTAGTGATCAAACATTCTTCAAATTCATGGTCAGGGACATAACCCAACATATAGCAAAAGCATAAAAAATTGCATTACCACCTTTCTAATTGGAAAGATTTATGCATGCCAGTAATAACAATATTTACAAAGTTAACAGCAAATAGTTTCAGGGTGGCAAGCTATAGCTAGACAGCCTCCTGTAGAAAAGGCATTTTAGATGCAGAAAACAGAAAAAAGCCTTAGTCTCTAGGTTCATAAAATGTAAATTCATTTTTTAATTCCTTGGATATTCACAGTTTCACCCAAAGGAACTTTATGGTGGATGACAGATCATGTTTATCTGTAAGGTGCTTCTGCATGGATATCATGGATACCATGCTACAACTTCAATGTTCAGCAACCAAAGGGAATAACCAAAAGAAGAGAAGTTAGGAGAAATCTTCTAGTTCATAAACATAGACAAGAATAATTAAAAAATATTTTAAGGGTAAATGTATCTTTTAGAGTTGGAAGATTTGCAATGAAATTTTTTTTCTTTAAATCATGCTAGTTAAACTAAGAGTGGCTTTCATTCCCTAGGAACCAGAAACTCTTACATTCCAGCTACAACGGACACTTCTAAAGTTCCCTCAGACATATAATTTCATTTGGACAAAGTAGGAAGACACTAATAACTGAAATTATTTGGCTGATGGCTTAATTCACTACCAATGGAGTAGTGGTTTTCAACTTCGACCACACAAGAAAATGTACGGTGTATTGAGCAAGAGCGATGTTCTCAAGGGGACATCTTGGATTGCATCTTGATTCTGCCACTTGCTCTCAGCAAGTCACAAAATTTTTCTGTGCCTCTGTCTCCTCATTAGCAAGTCCCTCCTTTATAGAATTATCGAGAGATTTAAATGTAAAATGCTAGGAACAGCAAAACAGTCCTCATCATATATTGAGTATGTATACTTAAAGCATATTTGATCCACATATACATTTGAATCATCTCAACTTCAGTCAGACCAATTAATTGTTGGTTTCACCATTTTGTCATATTTAGTCACAAAGTGGCCCAACTGAGTGGGCAGACAAACCACTGGTCAGTTTTTCATAACCTTCTGTATTTGTATAAATCAGTAAAGATCATACAATAGAATAATAACAGTAAAAGAACAATTGAACCAACAGGGAAGCAACAAACAGTTGCAACTGAAATTCAATGAAAAACTCTAGAAAAGACCAGATATTTATGATTCTGAAGAAGGAATGTTCCAGATGAAAAGACAGTCCCAATGGGGACCTCACTGATTTTGGAGATATTTTAGGGGCAGGGGAAGGACAGTGAAAAAAAATCAGATTTTGGCCAAACAAAGAAATTAAAAAACATACGATTAGAAATAATATCTTAAATATTTTTTAATACCCTAAATTTTTTAAGCTCTAGCAATGTAAAGTATACTCTCTTAGGTTTGGATATTGAAGAAAGTACTTTTTAGACAAATTATATTTCATTCTATATAATTCATCCACAACTGTATTTAATAATTTTTATAGCCATTGTTATTATATTTAAGAACAAATGAGTAGCCCTGGCTGGTGTAGCTCAGTGGATTGAGCGCGGGCTGCAAACCAAAGTGTCGCAGGTTCGATTCCCAGTCAGGGTACATGCCTGGGTTGCAGGCCATGACCCCCAGCAACCGCACATTGATGTCTCTCTCTCTCTCTCTCTCCCTTCCCTCTCTAAAAGTAAATAAATAAAATCTTTTAAAAAAAGATTATTAAAAAAACACACAAAAAAAATGAGTAATAATTTACTGAGCTCATGTTCCTGATGAAGCACTGTGCTACTTAAGTCATCACATTCAATCCTCATTATTCTTTTTTTTTTTAAAGATTTTATTTATTTATTTTTAGAGAGGGAAGGGAGGGGAGAGAGAGAGAGAGAGAGAGAGAGAGAGAGAGAGAGAGAGAGATCAATGTGCGGTTGCTGGGGGTTATGGCCTGCAACCCAGCAATGTACCCTGGCTGGGAATCGAACCTGGGACACTTTGGTTCCCAGCCCGCGCTCCATCCACTGAGCTACGCCAGCCAGGGCTAATCCTCATTATTCTTTAAAGGTAAATATTATTATTTAAAAACCAAAACCCTGAAAAGTCAAGTAACAAATTTAGTTTATACACCCAATAAGTGGTAAAACTGTAATTTAAATTAGAACTCCTAACTTAAGATCCCAAGTTTTTAACTATTAAAATATACCACAAGAAAAAATAAGGGGAAAAATTTTTTAAATAAGAAAATTTAAATATACCTCTGTGGCCCATTCCTTCTTTTGGTCCAGTTGCAACAAAGTTTCTCTGATTATTTTTTTTCTAGCATCTTCCAGAGTGATTTTATACTGTTCTTTAAAAAGAAAATTAGAAGCTATAACAACACCGACCCTAGGTAAAACTATGATGTCAGTAAATTTTATCTTTCATGCTCTTTGCCTCTCCTTTCGTACACATTTTTGCCCTGAATTTTCAGGGTACGCTTTTACTAAAGCATCTAGTACCTTCAACTAGCAGAATGCCCCAATCACTTTCTCACACCTTAACATGAATCAATTTAAGATGACATCTCTCCCAAGAATATCTGTACTTTGAAAGGACTGTCTCTCCAAAGGCAGAGTTTTCAATCTGCCGTTTATATCACACAACGTCTGATTCCACAACAGACACATAAAGAAGTTTTGATTACATGCTTGAGTAGCATCCTGTACCTCTGACTTCATCTAACTAAATTCCCACTATTCTTGGCACGCATTTCCTGGGGCAGGAAGGACATCATGAGGAGAGAGAACGACGGAAGAGCTATTTCTGAAAGGCTGTAGACTTGGTTCTGAGGCTCAGAGGAAGAAAGAGGACAGAGATGAAGAAGGGCAGATTCTCTATCCTCACTGGGCTTCCTTCGGTTACAGATGTTAGAATTGAGAGAGCAAAGGATCATAAAATTTAAAACCTTGAAAGTTGCTTAGAGATCATGCAATCAACGCCCCTGTGTAGGGAAAGTGAGGTGCGGTGACATTAAGGCTGCTTTACAGAGTGAGAGAAGTGAAGCTGGAACAATCAGTCCATCTTACTCATTGTTTCATACAATAAATCATCACCAAGCTGTTTTGATGTATGGGACACTATCTAAGGCACTGATACTACTGGCAGAGAAGAGACAAACCTCTGCCTTTCTGACATGTACGTTCTAGTGGGAAGCCAGACCATAAATAGATGAACAAGCAAATCAATGTTTCAGGTGGAGATGTGTGTGATGAAGAAAAACTAACATTCTCTACTTTAGATAGGGTGACCAGAGGAAGCTTTTTGGAGGAGGTAACATTTGAGCAAACATTGAATTAAGTGAGCAAGTCAACCATGTGCAACAGGAAGGAACTGGACTACTCCAAATCCAAGAACAATCAAAGTTAGTTTTGTTTTATGATAACATCTATGCTATATTTATAATGCCTGAAGGATACATATTTGGAAGTTAGAAAGTATTTTTCCATACAAATGATGTTGACAATTATAGTTGCTGGATTTTTGGACTGTTCCACAGAGACCCATTTAGTTTATTCTGTAACCAGACAATAGTATTGTACAATACCAACAGTAGTGTGGAACCCAGCTGCCATTTAGGACATTGTTTTAAAGGGAAAATTTTCTCTATAGATAAGTCAGCCAAAGCAGAACTCAGGGGTCTACAACTACAGCAGGGGAGATCTGCAGGTCTGGTCTTTCAATAGCTTGAAGCCAAACTAACACTCTGGAGAGACAGCCAGGGAGCTAGGCACAAGTTATTCAGCCCTCATCTGTACTTTGTACTGGCATAACTGCTTCTCCTAATAGGTGAAAACTCAGAAAGCAGAGTGTAAAATCTTCTCTTCCATATCTTTCTTTTTTTTATTGTATTTTTTCCATTACCTTTTATCCCCCTTATACTCCCTCCCCTCTGCAATCACCACACTGTTGTCCACCTCATGAGTCCTTTTCCTTTTTGCTCAATCCCTCCATCCCTTTACCTTCCCTCCAAGAGCTGTCGGCATGTTCTCCATCTACGCGTCTCTCTGTTTTCCTTGTAAGTTCAGTTTGTTCATTAGATTCCACATATGAATGAAATCATATGATATTTGTCTTTCTCTGACTGGTTTAATTCACTTAGTATAATGTTCTCCAGGTCCATCCATACTGTCACAAAGGGTACAATTTTCTTCTTTTTTATAAGCTGGTACATGTTGTGTAAATGTCCCATAGTTGTTTTATCTACTCATCTACTGATGGACCCTTGGGCTGCTTCCATAGCTTGATGATTTTAAATAAAGCTGCAATGAACATAAGGATGCTTATGCTGTTTCAAATTAGTGTTTCAGGTTTCTTCAGATAAATTCCCAGAAGTAGAGTTGCTGGGTCATAAAGCAGTTCCATTTTTAACTTTTTGAGGTAACTCCATACTGCTTTCCACAGTGGCTGCACCAGTGTGTATTCTTACCAACAGTGCAAAAGGTTCCCCTTTCTCCACATCTTCACCAGCACTTGTTCTTTGTTGATTTATTGATGATGGCCATTCTGACAGGTGTGAGCTGCTAATTGTGGTTTTAGTTTGCATTTCTCTGATGATTAGTGACATTGAACATCTTTTCATATGACTATTGGCTATCATATGTCTTCTTTGGGGAAGTGTCTATTCATGTCCTTTGCCTGTTTTTTAAATAGGATTGTATGGGGTTTTTTTGGTGTTGAGTTTTATAAGTTCTTTATAGATTTTGAATATTTACCCCTTATCAAATATATCTGTGAACACATTCTTCTATTCAGTGGGTTGTCTTTTTATTTTGTTGAAAGTTTCCTTTGCCAAACAAAAGCTTTTTAGTTTGAAATAGTCCCATTTATTTTATTTTATTTTTGTTTTCCTTGCCTGAGGGGATATAGCAAATAAAATATTGCTATGAGCAATGTCCAAGGTTTTACTGCCTATGTTTTCTTCTAGAAATTTTATGGTTTCAGGCCTGACATTTAAGTCTTTAATCAATTTTGAATTTATTCTTGTGTGTGGCATAAGAAGGGGTCTAGTTTCACTTTTCTGCACATATCTGTCCAATTTTCCCAATACCATTTTTGAATAAACTATCTTTAGCCCATTGTATGTGCTTGCTTCCTCTGTTAAATACTAATTGGCTATGAAGGTGTGGGTTTATTACTGGGTTCTCTATTCTGTTCCATTGATCTATGTGTCTGTTTTTATGCCAGTCCCATGCTGTTTTGACTACTATGGCTTTATAGTATAGTTGGACATTGGATAGTGTGATTTCTCCAACTTTGTTCTTTCCCAAGATTGTTGTTGTTATTTGGGGCCTTTTGTGGTTCCATATAAATCTTTGAAATATTTGTTTTAGTTCTGCGAAATACATCATTGGTGTCTTGATAGGAATTGTATTGAATCTATAGATTGCTATGGGTAGCATGGACATTTTAATGATGTTAATTCTTCCTATCCATGAACACAGTATGCGATTCCATATCTTTCTATTACTGCAGTCCCTGGGATAGAACAGATATTAAAAATGCTTTGAAGAAAATTAAATTTGGCAAATTGCAAGTCTTTGCCAGGCAGTGATCTGAGGCTTCAGCACAGGGCGACCGCAGCCAATGATAGCAACTTTCAGTGACAACTTTGGTGAGGATGAGGAGGAGGAGTAAAAAGGGAGAAGGGGAGAGCTTCCCAGGTTGTGGAGTGGCCAGAAAGGGGTTGGGATGCTCAGTTTCTGCCTCTAGTGGAGTTGAAACAAGAGTGTCTGACTGAGGCAGTGATTTATAAACAAGAGAGTTCATGAGGTCTTGGGAACTAGTCTAACTTGACATCTGGAGAATAAGAAAACAGACTTCTTCATTATTCCAGCCTACATATGCCCATCTCCATAACCTGTATTATTCTTACTCATTTGAAGTCATTGCTTGAATATATCAATCATTCCCATCTCATTTCTGATAGAATTTCTTTTTCAATTCAGGATGTAGCCCACTAGACTAATGCTGGGTATTATTTGAAACTTCTACCCCAAAAAACACAAAAATCAGTCTAAAAGTTGCAATGTATCAGGAGGTTAGACATAATAAATTTTACATTCTTAGCATCTAAAAGAAACCATAAAACCTGGAGCTCGATAGCATGAAATATTGATTCTTGCTGTAAATCATAAAAAATAGATGACCAAATATGCTCTGACTAAAGTTGTAGCTCTCTCACTTGCCATTTTCATACTGAAAAAGCAGTAGTAACATCCAACTCTGTTTCAAATTCCATAAAAAATTGTATGGACTGTTTTTCTTCTGAAAAGCAGAACAACCAGCACAAGAGAGGATGTGAAGATCTCATTGTTATCCTTTGTGATTCAGATGATGTTTCAGGTAACAACTATTAATTATTCATTTGTGAATACAGCCAGAGAAACTGAGAGTATATAAAAGCCCCCTTCTCATAAAAGTTTGAGCAAACTCCTGTGCAAGTGGGAGCTTGGGGGATTATGACCTTGTGCCTTTAGACTCTTGGCTGCTCAGATGCCCAGTTTAATGTGGTACTTCTCAGAAGCTGACCGAAAAACCACCCTGGCTGAGGCTTTGCTTTCCATTGTTCCGCTTTCTCTGATGTATCTAGCTGTGCTTTGTTTACTCCTCCACAGCTTTTTGGGAGTTTGCTGTCTACTCTTCACATACTTCTGGTGTCATAGTGTCATGCAGCTTTATTGTGCTGATTCTCTCCAGTGGCAGTGGCCTCCCTTCCGCCCCATCTGGAGAAAACTGAGCAAGGGCAGGTGGCAATAGTTGCCATGCAGCAATTTCTCAGGCACAGTGTATATCAGAGAGCCATCCCTACCTCACCAAATCACGGAGCTGGGAGGACTATTGAAGCTTATTGGTTTGGTGTTACACATGGGTTCAAATCGCATTTCCACTACTTACTAAGCTTGTGAGTTTGGTCAAGGCAATTAGCTTCTCTGGGCATCTTGTTTCCTCATCTTTAAGTGCACAGTGATAGCTAATTCAAAGGGACTTGTAAGGGTTAGATGAGGTGTAGAAAACAGGTGCTGGAAATGTGAGTTCTCTTGGAGATCACCAAGGGACTCTTATTTTACAGAGGAGGAAACTGTGGCTTCAAGAAGTAATATTTTTTGTAAGTGGACCTGAACCCAAGTCTTTTAACTCACTGCCAGTGCACAAAGAACTTCTATGGGTCCCTGTCCTGTGCACCTGGTGAAGGACAAAACGTAAAAGTGATCTGTGACTCTAATATCTAATGACTTGTAATAACCCCACCCTTTTTCTATTCCTGTGCCTAATCTAAGGTTTCCTTTCCCTTTGTTAAGAGAATGAATGTGTCCTAAATGATCAGTGACCAGTTTCCTATATCCAATATCCTAACATCGCCTTCTGGCTAAAGTGTGGAAAGGGACAAAAAGCTCTCACCTGTCTGACACTACCCCAAGCAAATGTTTCCCTTTCTGGTCCTCACTGGCATTTAAGGTTGATTCCTCCTCTCGTGGGGCATTGCTATTATTTTTCAGAGGACCACCTTCCTCATTGCTAGTTATATTTGACCTGCATTTCCTTCCTGCAGGGGATGTATTGTCCTTGGAGGTTGACTAACAATTTTTCTTTTGGCCTCTGGCTGTTAATCTCCTCCTCCCTCCCACACATACAGGCTTATAGAAGCCCAGAGAGCTTCCCTGCTCCTTCCACCTTGAGGACTGAGTGCAAAGCTGGCCACCTATGAATCAGGAAGCGGGTTCTCTCACCAGACACTGAATCTGCTGGTACCTTGACCTGAACTTCTCAGCCTCCAGGTCTGTGAGAGATAAATTTCTGTTTTTTATAAGCCACCTAGTCTACGGTACTTTGTTATAGCAGCCCACGTGGACTAAGACACAGGCCTAGGCCAGGGCAGCAGCCACCTCTTCTTAGCTCTGCTGTCAGAACTACTAGCTAGTCAGCCACACACCCCATGGATTTCCCAGGAATGAGTCATAAAATAGATCTGAATGTCCCCTATACTGGAGGGGACACATATTGAACAGTCTGAGGAAATTCCTTGAAAACTTCACATCTTTTTTTAAAAATATATTTTATTTCATTTTTTTCAGAGAGAGGGGGAGGGAGGGAGAAAGAGAGGCAGAGAAACATCAATGTGTGGTTGCCTCTTGAGTGCCTCCAACTGGAGACCCGGCCTACAACCCAGGCATGTGCCCTGGCTGGGAATTGAAATGGCAACACTTTTCGGTTCACAGGCTGGCACTCAATCCACTGAGCCACACCAACCAAGGCAAAACTTTCTATCTTGATTTGAGGTGAAGGAAGGATTACCCTTCACCTGTCCCTTTGGGGGACAGTGTAGAACTTACAGCATACCATAAGCTCTTTGAAAAAACTATCCCCTAATTTCTGATCATCTTTTCTTGGCCTCTCCAACTTTTTTTATAGACTGGAATTCAGTGTTTGGAAGTGTGGAACCATTTTTCTGTTTCATCATATTGCAGGTTTGCACAGTAGTATCTCACTTTACTTTGAAACGTGGTATCCATTACATAGCCACCCCAGTTTAAAGTGAGACTGAAGAAGTTTCATTTTAACATTCTGTTTCACTTTCAGCAAACCCTCTTTTTTCTAAAATACTTGATCATCACAAGTGAAGCAATTTAACTAACATGAACCCCATAATTATGGGTTTGGGAAGAGATTTCCAGAGAAATCATGGAAGAATGGGGGGAGTGGCAGAAGAAGAGGGGAGGCTGGTACTAAGGTTGCACACAAAATGATTTAGGAGTTCTCCTCGTAATCACTGTGTCCAATTTGTGGCCCCCGAAGTGCTTTAACGCTTTGGGGAAGAGTTGCTGCTGCATAAGTGGGAGAAATGAATGGCAGAAAAGGAAGCCCATCACATCCATTTTCCCATGATACCAAAGTGGGGCTATAAACTGAGGCACAACCAATAAGTACAATAGTTCAACATATAAATGTTAATACCACCACCCCAAAGTTGGATACAACAGCATGAAAAATTTTAGCTGAAACAAATTATCCAAATGTCTGATCTAGATAATGGGGTTGAGGGTGGGGCTGGGTGGAGGTGCGGAAAGTGGGAGAAAATAGGGACACCTGCAACAGTGTCAATAATAAAAATAAAGTTAAAAAAATAATGAGTTGAGTTTACTTGAGGAGATCACTCTGTCTGCTTTAAAAATGTAAAATAAAGAAACTGGGCCCTGGCTGGTGGGGCCCAGTGGACTGAGTGCTGGCCTGTGAACCACAGGGTGGCTGGTTTGATTCCTAGTCAGGGCACATGCCTGGGTTGTGGGCCAGGTCCCCAGCAGGGGGTGTGCAAGAGGCAACCACACATTGGTGTTTCTCTCCCTTTCTTTCTCCCTCCTTTCCCCTCTATCTAAAAATAAATACAATCTTAAAAAAAATCTGGGTAAAATTTTAAAATATTTTAAACACTCCAGAACAATAACTATTTAAAAGTATGGTACTGGTGCACAAATACATAGATTAAAACAGAATAGAAAGTACTTAAAGATATCCAAATACAAATGGGAAATTAAAGTAGACAAAATCAGCACCTCAGATCAGTAGGGTAGAAATGGTGCTGGGACATCTGGCAAAAAATAAAATTGGTTTCCTACCTCAAAAAAAATCACAAATTTAAATATAAGACTACAAAATTTTCTCATACATACACCCCACAAATGAAAGACTAATGACAAATGGGAAAGACATTTGTAGCTTCTATCACTGTTAAAGAACTAATTTCCTGAAAATGTGAAGTGTTCGACAACACAGTAGAAAAGTGGGCAAAGTGTGTAAAACAGCTGGTTCAAATGAAGGAAAATTCGCATGGTTTTTGAACTTAGGAGAAGGTACTCACAAGTGCTTATAAGAGAAATGTAAATCAAAGCTACAGCGGGATACAGTTTTCTACTTTCAAGGCTAACAAAGAACAAAGAGTTGGGTAATATCCCCTGTCACTGAAGATGTGGGGAAAAAGCATCCCCAGGCACACCAGGAATAAACAGTACAACCTGTATGGAGGGCCAGGCCTATCAAAATAAAAATAAATGGACTGCTTGGGCCAGCCATTTCTCCTTAGAGATACACATAAATGAAACTGCATGAAATATAAGGGTAGTCATCACTGTAAAATGAGACATGTATAAGGGTACTCACCGTAGCATTATTTGTAATAGTCAAAGACAGTGAATGGCCTAAATGCTTATGAGTAGGGGACTGGTTATATAGTACAACACAACACAGTGGCCATTGGAAGAATGAGGGAAATACTAATACAACATGCTGTCCATATTATGCGAAAAATCACATTTTGTGGCATGCTGTTTGTTTACGCATGTGTAATCTTTCTGAAAGGCTACATAAGAAACTGGTAATCGTGGTTTTATCTAGAGAGAAGACTGAGTGGCTGGGGAACAGACAGGAGTAGGAAGGTATCATGTTCTCACTCTGCACTTTTCTTTTGGGGATAAGAACACATTTTTGAAAAAGTGTAATTCCAAGCCCAGTCTAATTTGGGGCCAAATTTATACTACCGTTATGGTGCAGAGACCTCTAGCTGAGAAACTCACATAAACATTGGTCTAGAAGTGGAGTGTCCGGACAGGCTCTCAGCCTGGGACGATGGGAACAACCTTACAGGACCCCCCTGCAGTGCGGGGCACCATCACCCACTGGGCTCACCACTGCCATCCACCCACAGTGTCCTTTCAGGCTAGATTGCTTCCATTCGCTCTATCCTATGGCTTTCCTGTCTCTGGGTCTCCGGTGTTCATTTAAGCCACTATGCTAGTCACAGTCACAGACAGGGGACCTCACGGTTCCCAGAACCAGTCCTGTTAAGCTTCATCACGCCTAATGTTATCTGCTCCATACCCTCTTCACTTCCCCTCTTGTATTCATTCTCCAGTCTTTTCTGATTAGAGCTTAGTATTTACCTGAGGTTGCTTTAGCTTGCTTCAGGTAAATTTCCTAACATCACACAGGCCCAGGATCCTCCAGCCTCAGCGAACTTACCTCAGACCCAGGTGTAGGAGCACACAGACACCACCCACTGAATGAAACTTCTTCCTAGATGACAGTTTCTCCACCCTGCCTCCTTTCCCTTTACTTCCCCTTCCCGGTTTCGTAGGTGGTCCTGGGACAGTTTCTCAGTGTCCTCCCTCCACCTCTGCCCTTGGGCTCAAACTGTTTGAACTGACCCAGCAGAGAGGAGCAAATGATTCAGGGAGTACCACTCTTTTTTTTCTTCCATCAAATGTCCACCTTCTAAAGGGTGTTGTACTGAACTTGAGCTAACTTTGTTGCAACTGACCTGACATTTTCTCTGCATTCTCTTTAACTTTATTGATGTCATTTTGTAAGGAGATGATGAGTTTAGCATGTTGTTTACTCCCTACATTCTTGTACTCTTCCCAGTATTCCTTCTCACTGAGTTTCTCAAGAAATAGTTTCTCAGCATTACTTATTTGCAAGCGCATATCTGTTGAAAGAAAATCAAAACACCATGTCATTCCTACTGTCCTTGTAACCATCATATGTTGCAATCTGATTTTTTATGAAGTTAGGCTCTGATGTTAAAATGCTATTATCTCATAAATCCACTTTTATATCTACAATTGAAGGAAATCTAAACTATTCAAACTGTTGTTTAACTACCCCCATGATTCAAACTCTAAGTAAAATTAAAATTCTAATTCTAAAGTAGATGTGTGGTTTTGGGCTGTGAATGAGAGCTGTAATAGATGATTAAGCTATATGCCTAGGACCCACACGTTTTCATTGTGACATTGTAAGGGTCCTATCTTGTACAATATATTAGGTCACATATACATTTTATTAGTAAATTGTCATTTTTCTGGCCATTATGCCTCTGGGCAAAGTGATTTTACCTTATATGATTCTGTAGTCCTTGGCGACCCCTTCTATGAATAAGTTGTGTGAGCCTGTTTTCTAAAGTTCATTTGTGTGGAATGACAGTACATGACAGTCATGCCAACATGTTTTCCCCACTCTCACTTGTACAACTTCAGGGTGAAAGATAAGTCTCCTAATTAAATATGTACAAATATTGCCAGATCTGAACCACATAAGCTCTCAGTTTGCCCTGGAACACCTGAGAATCATGACATGCTACTCAATCTTTAGGCTGAATATTATGCTGCTGAGTATTTTGGAAAAAGAAGCATTACAGAGAGCCAGGTGCAATGAATTTAATGGCTATTTGGCTTACTGCCACACACCATCTTATCTGAGAGCGCCGTGACAGTGATGCCACATCTTACCCAGCTCCGTAAATCCAGCACTTAGCAAGAGGCTGGCACTTAATTGGTCCTAGAAAACACTTATGGAATGACTGAAGCATTCCAATCAGACCAGAGGGATGTACTTCAGTCTGATGCTCCAAAAGGACACCAGACACGTCTTTTGCCAAAGATGTAAGATTATATTTTTAAATCTCTTAATAAATGGCACTTGTTATTGTCATTAAACAATTAATGCTCCTATAACCCAGATGGCCAGCCATCCTCTTATTTGAGCAGACTATTGCTGCCTCAGCCCTGTGCCATGGTCAGCTTCGGGGGCAGGGGGGCGGCATGCTGGTTATCATCATCGAAGATGTTGAAAGAGAGATGGATGTAGTGGCTGTTCTACTTTTCCACAACCCCTCTTCACTTCCAATCTTGTAACATGCTTTTCCTACTCCTTGTCAAATATACAGTGGGGCATAAATAGGTTTATGGTAGTTTGTGTGGAAGATAATACTGTAATTAAAAAATAATAACACAAGAATAAACTGTGTTTCACATACTCGAAACTGTGAAACTACTCTTGCCCCACCCTGTATGTGGCCAGTTACAGTGGTCCCTTTCCCTGACCACAGGGACTGGCCCAGGAATGAGTGTGTGTCCCAAGCTAGGCACATGCTCAGAGTCCTTCCACAGAAATATTTTTATTGAAACTGGTAGAAAACATGGCTCTTTGATCTCCATTTTGAGGTTATAAGGGTGTAAAGTCAGAGACGTCTATAGTTAGTATTCCAGCCTCATGGGGACAACAGCCTGAGAAAAAGGAGCCAACTTTCAGGGAGAGGACAGAGAGAGGAGAGGGATGAAGGAGGCAGGGAGAATGAGGGAAGGGGAGAGAGAGGAGAGAGATGGGGGCGGGGTTGAAACAAAAAGCTTGGATCTGACAGCATGTGAAGCTCTGGGTCACCCTGTGTTTTCTGCTTGGTTATGTGAAAAAAGTGCCTTCCTCTTTATGCTTATGCTAGTTTGTGTTAGATTTTTATCCTTGTAACTGAAAGAGTCCTAACTGGAGCTGGAAAAAAGAGGTTACATCAGTACCTCTCAAACCTTGCTGTGCATAAGAATCCCCTAGGATCTTGTCTGATGCAGATTCTGATTCACCAGGTCTGGGTGGGGCTGAGACTCTGCCTTGAAACGAGCTGCCACATGATGGGAGGGCTGCTCTCCACAAACCAGAGCCAGTTGCAAGTGACTACCTGGTACATAACATAACTGCCTGAGGAATCCTTTTCAGACACATCTGTTCTCTCCCTTCCCCTCTCTTCCTTGGCATCTGTGGGCTGCTTTCTTCCTTGGACCACACTCATGCCCAGGCCTGCTTTGCTGTGCTCAGTCATCCGGCTGGGCCCCAGTCTGGTGTGACATACGCACCCTGAACGAGTCCAAACCATAAACAGGCACACCTCACTGGCCCATTCTGATTTGAAGGCAGTTCAGTGAGCACATCTGAGTAGTATCTGTTTTGGTCTCACTCCCATCTCAAGGGATTTATTAAAGTATTCCTCCCAAACATAAGCAAAACTTTCCTGGAGAGGAACCCACACAATACAGCATCTATCATCTCATTACATCACTGTTGCCCATAAAGGGACCTGGGTAGGTGGAAGTTTATGGGAACAATTTTGGAAACCCTGAAAAATGAAGTTTGCTGAGTAATGTTTGGTGTTGGTAACTATTTCAGTCAAAACAACAAGTTATCTATGAATGGAATGCCTGCTCTGTGCAAAGTGCTTGGATATGTAGGCTCTCTGAAATACTGGAGAAATTCAGGAAAATCTTGTCCCTCGTTTTGCCTCCCAGCTTCTAGTACTACTTCCTGATAGCACTCAAGTCTCTTTGCCACGTTTTCCAGCTTCCTAGCAGATATGATATTTATAGGGGTTCTGGCAAAAGTGGTTTTAGAAATTTTGGCAGGATGTCTGAGATAAAGGAATAGGAATTTAAAAAAATGTAAGTGTCAAAACTGTGTGTGTGACTTACCCCCAGGATCGTGCTATTTCCTAAGCCCCGTGGCAAGGGTACGTTCTGGGTACTTCATATTCTGCACCTCGCATCATTTCTCTCCATGTCCTCCAAACTGCCTTTTCCCCAACTCTAATCCCTCTTTCCCCATCTAAATGGGTGTGGGAGAAGGAGCCTAGCTCCATATGGAGATATAGGGCTGGGGGAGCTTCATGGTTATACTCGCTTAATCATTCCCAAGTCGGAACTGACACTGAAGCCAGCGAAGCCACCAAACAAGAGAATTTCCCAAAAGAAAGAACAAATCCCCACCATGAGGAGGTCAGAGTGTCTAACAGGATATTGTCCAGTGTGTGACAATCAGGTGGCTTCCAAGTGTCTTTGTTTTTGATCACTGTCCTTACTCCTCCTCCTCACTTGATTTCAGTGTCTCTGCTGCTTTATTTCCCCCTCCTGTTCATTCACCTACATGTGTTTCTGGTTGTGGTGATAATGATGCCGTCTGAAACATGTTCACAGCATTTTTAACATTAGGAAACAGGCACTAATGCATTCGAGAAATAACTTGATTCATCTTTATGATAATTTTCTAAGTTCGTAAATCACCTTTTAAGTTTTGTTCCTGGTCTCTTTCAAACTGCCACTTCTCCTTCATTGCTGTTTCAACATCCTCTCTTGATACAACTTTTGACTTTTCTGACTTCTCTTCGCTTAGTTCCTTGAGTAGGTTCCGGATATGCCAAATCTGTTCATCCTTTAAGCGTCGATTCTGTCATGAAAATCAACAGCAGTTAACTATGTCTGCTCAAGTGTTTATGCTGACCTTCCTCAAAACACAGTCACATGTTGAGGCTTGCAAAGTGAGAAAAAATATTTAATGAAATGAGTTATATAATAATACCTCTGAAAGTTTATGGAACATGAAGTACAAAACAAAATTAAACCCGTCAATATGGTAACTATTGGACAGCAAGTTACATTAAAAAAATTGTGTTACTTATCTACCAGTCTCTTACCCCATAATAGAATCAATGAACGTTAAAATCAGCCCTTGGAGTTCCCTTTCTCTGCTTAGCACCACCATTCTTCAGCACTCACCGGTCATTCAGTCAGCATCCGTGGGGCTAAGCGGTTGTCTGTACACTAGGGATAGACATGTGAACAAAGTAGACAAAAAGGGCTGGTTTTGTGGCATTTACATTATTCTTTGCTTTTTTCACAAATGACCCTACTTCTCTTATTTTAGGGTGATGGCTACTCACCACTCCAATACTTCATACTTAAAATATGGACTGGGTTTCCTCTGTGGCTATTTCATCTATGTTTCCAAGCTTCTTATATTTCATCAACTTTGAGCCTACTCTTGCCATTACTATCTTATTATGTATATGCAGAGATATTTTAGTGTGTGTGAACTCAGTACATTTTCCTTGTAATTTTTCTAGGGCCTCTTAAAATTCTAATACTTCCCTGGTGTCTCTCCTTCAATTTTTTAATACATAATAAAATGTATATATTTAAATATTTCAATACTTTTTAAAGATTACTTATTTGCCTATAATTTAACATGCTCTTTACTATAACTTTTCAACATTATATTTTATTTCTGATATTCATGTCTTTTATACTCTTAACTTAGATACTTTAAGAGTATTTTGTTCTCCCAAAATTGATTCTTTAGGCCAGTGCTTCTCAAGCTTTACTGTGTATACCAGGCCCTAGGGGATCTTGCTAACATGCAGATTCTGGTTCAGTAAATGTGGCACATTTCTGACAAGTTCCAGGTGATGCCAAGCCTGCTGGCCGACCAACCACACTTTGGACAGAATGGTTCTTTCAGGTAACATAACGAATTTATGATTTATTGATAGTATTAGAGCCTACTAAAACTCCATTCTTTATTACATAATCCAACAAACTTTAAACTTGAGGACTGAAAAACTTGATTTCTTAAACTTGTTTGGCAAAATAAGCATTAGTTTAATAAACTAGGATTTAATGTTACTTTAATCCTCTTTATTTCATAGGATGTGTGATCTGATTGTCATTTCAGTGCATTAGAATTTTAACTTAATACTTTGACAAACTGAACAAAAGCAATAGGCAATAAAATTTATGATGCTCAGTGTTGATAAAAAGAGACCTCCCTCCCCCCCCAAAAAAAGGATTGGGATGGATAGGCTTTTAGTAATTTCAAAAATTGGGAACAAAGATTAAAAGGTATGATATTCAAAATTTAGTGGTTTAACTTCTCTGATATTTTGTTTACAATATTCTAAACATCATAATTAATTGTCTTTGAATAATTTTTAATATTAAGGGATTCATAATATGCTAAATTTGAAAACTGAATCTCTTTCCTTCTAAACTACTCTTTTAAATCATATTGGGAGTGACATAAGCAGAAATATTTGAATAAAAACCTCCAAAAATCCTCTCCTCCATAAAAGCAATTAGAAAACTGGCAAAATTGTGAAAATCGACTTTTCAGAACTCTGGAAATTAAAGGCTTGTGATAACTTCCAGAGAATATTTATTCAAGAAAAACAGTTGAATGTGGGTAAGGACAGTGAGTTTTGTGGCATCTCACCTTGCTCTGAAAACCAAGAGCCTTATAGTCTTGGGGAAAACCAGCAGCCTAGCAGCCTGGGTTAGCAGGTCAGGGAGAAAGGTGGTGGGGAGCAGAACTCTTCTAAAGCACAATCCCCAAATTACCATCATTATTTAATATATCTGGTAGTTCCCTGGAAAATCCCACCAGCAGACCTTGTCTTTGACCTAACTCAGTGCTTGTGTGAATAGCCGTTTCCCAGATTGAAGTTGGTCAAAAACAATCAGAGGCAATTGTTAAACATTATAGCTCCCTGCGGTGGTATAACAGCTGGGAAAAACAACAAACTGATGGAAAAAAAACTTTAAAGGAAAGCTGGAGAGATGTCCATAGGGAGTTTTGACATATTCTCAGGAATTTAAAAGGTCACATGCACGTATAAGGCTGTGAGCATACTGAGAGCTGTGCAGGTGCTTAGGAAAGACCTAAGAAGGCTCTAAGCACTCACCTCTGGCTGACCTTGAGGTCCTGCTGAAGCAAGAAGCTAAGGTGAAGGTGAAGTTGTAAGTTTACTGGCTGAGTGTAGAAGTCATGGCCCAGCAAGCACATAGATGCCTGCAGCAAAGGCTGGGAAATTTATTGTTTAGAGACATTAAAAAAAAATTCTGTCCAATCATTAACTGACCACGAAGCTAAGTGAACAAAGACTTTAGTGGCCACACACAACAAAAAACATAGGTTTCACAGAATTGGTTCAGAAAAGTCACTAAGTAAACAAACAACAATGGCAATAAGTAGCAACAACAACAAACTCTGGGAGAGAAGAGAATCTAATCTTCAGAGCTGTCACATTATAGTAATAAAAATCTCTGACTTTCAACAACAAAAAAATTATGAGGAATGCAAAAAAACCCCCAAGAAAGTAAGATCCATGCATATTCTTATTGGGAATTTTACTACACAGGGGAAAAAAGGCAGTCAATAGAAACTGTGGACAAAGACTTTAAATCAGCTATCTAAAATACATTCAAAGAGTTAAAGAAAACCATACATAAAGAACTACAGGAAAGTATGAAAATAATTTCTCTCTAAATAGAAAATAGCAATAAAGAGAAAGAAATTATTATTATTTTAAAAAATTTTTTACATGCAGGAATCTTTTTATTTATTTATTTATTTTTAGAGAGGAAAGGGAGGGAGAAAGAGAGAGAGAGAGAGAAACATCAATGTGTGGTTGCTGGGGGCCGTGGCCTGCAACCCAGGCATGTGCCCTGATTGGGAATTGAACCTGCGATGCTTTGGTTCGCAGCCCGCACTCAATCCACTGAGCTATGCCAGCCAGGGCCAGAAAGAAATTATTAAAAAAAATAGAAATTCTTGATCTAAAAAGTACAATAATTGAAATGAGAACTTTAGTAGAAGGGCTTAACACAGATTCATGCAGGCAGAATATTGTTCTGCCCTAAAAAGGAATGAAGTACTGTGCTAGAGATTGAAGTTTATATCTGCCCTGGATATTTATGTGTTGAAGCCTTCATCCCCAATGTGATGATATTTGGCAGTGGGGCCTTTGGGAAGGAATTAGGTTTAGATGAGGTCATCAGGATAGAGCCCAATGATGAGATTATTGCCTTTATAAGAAGAGAAAGTTTAGAGCCTTCTGCCATTTCACTACTCTAGGGTGGAGGTGGGGGAGAGGAAGGGAAATGACCTTGATCTAAGTCTTATAATTTGTACAAAAATTAACTCAAATGGACCATGAGTTAAGTGGAAAAGGTAAAACTATAAACATTTTAGGATGAAACACAAGATAAAATCTTCGGAATGTAGGGCTAGTCGAAGAATTATTATTTATTTATTTGCCTATTTTTATGGCCATTCTGACAGATGTGAAGTGGTATCTCATTGTGGTTTTATTTTTATTTTTCTAACATATATAATTTTATTACAAAATTCATTGTGCTTTTAATTTGCATTTCTCTGATGATTAGTAATGTTGAACATCTTTTCATATGACTATTGGCCATCATATATCCTCTTTGAAGTGTCTTTCAGGTCTTTGCCCATTTTTTAATTGGATGTTTGTTTTTTTGGTGTTGAGTTTTGTAAGTTTTTATAAATTTTGTGTATTAATCCCTTATCAGATGTATCAGTGAATATGTTTTCCCATTTTGTAGGTTGTCTTTTTATTTTGTTGAAGGTTTCCTTTGCTGGACAAAAATTTTTAGTTTGATGTAGTTCCATTTGTTTACTTTTTCTATTGCTTCCCTTGCCTGGGGACATATGTGAGATAAAATATTGTTATGAGCAATGTCTGAGATTTTACTGCCCATATTTTCTTCCAGGGTTTTTGTGGTTTTAGGTCTAATATCTGTCTTTAATCCATTTTGAATTTATTCTTGTGTGTGACATAAAAAGGTGGTCTAGTTTCATTTTTTTGCAAGTTATTTGTCCTATTTTCCCAACAACATTTATTGAATAACTATCTTTAGTCCACTGTATGTGCTTGCTTCCAATGTAGAATATTAATTGGCTGTAAAGTTGTGGGTATATCCCTGTGCTCTCTATTCTGTTCCATTGATCTGTGTATCTGTTTTTATGCCAGTCACATGCTATTTTGATTACTATGGCTTTATAATCTAGTTTGATATTAGGTAGCATGATTCCTCCAACTTTGTTCTTCTTTCTCAGGATCACTGTTGCTATATGGGGCCTTTTGTGGTTCCATATAAATCTTTGAAATATTTTTTATAGTCCTGTGAAATACATCATTAGTATCTTGATAGGAATTGTTTGATTCTATAGATTGCTTTGGATAGTATGGACATTTTAACAATGTTAATTCATCCTATCCATGTACACAGTATGGGCTTCCAATTATTTGTATCTTCTTCAATTTCTTTCCTCAGTGTCTTATAGTTTTCTAAATACAGATCTTTTACATCCTTAGTTAGATTTATTCCTAGGTATTTTATTTCTTTTGAAGCAATTGTGAATGAGATTGTTTTCTTAATTTCCCTTTGTTAGTTCTTTATTGCCATATAAAAATGTAGCTGATTTCTGGATATTAATTTTGTATCCTGATACTTTGCTGAATTCATTTATATTAGTTCTAGTATTTTCTTGGTGGAATCTTTGGGATTCTCTATGTACAGTATCATATCATCTGCAAATAATAATAGTTTTACTTCTTCCTTTACAATTTGGATGCCTTTTATGTCTTCTTGTCTGATTGCTGTGGCTAGGATTTCTAGTACTATGTTGAATAAGAGAGGTGAAAGTGAACATCCTTGTCTTATTCTTGATCTTATGAGAAATGCTTGTAGTTTTCATCTGTTGAGTATGATGTTGGCAGTGTATTTGTCATAAATGGCATTTATTATGTTTAGGTATATTCCTTCTATTCCCACTCTGCTGAGTTTTTATCATAAATGGGTGCTGGATTTTATCAAATGCTTTTTCTGCATGTATTGATATGATCGTGTGATCATTATCCTTCATCTTGTTTATATTGTGTATCACATTTATTGACCTGTGGATATTGTACCAACCTTGTATCCCTGGAATAAATCCCATTTGATCATAGTGTAAAATCTTTTTAATGTATCTCTGAATCCAGTTTGCTAATATTGTTTTGAGGATTTCAGCATCTATGTTCATCAGAGATAGTGGCCTATAATTTTCTTTCTTTGTAGTGTCTTTGTGTGGTTTTGGAATGAAAATAATGCTGGCCTCACAAAATGAGCTTGGGAGTAGAACCTCTTCCTGAATTTTTTGAAAAAAGTTTGAGAAAGATAGGTATTAATTCTTCTTTGAATGTTTGGTAAAATTCACTTGTAAAGCCACCTTGTTCAGGACTTCTGTTTGTTGGAAGTTTTTTGATTACTGCTTCAATTTTATTGGTTGTAATCTATCAATATTAGCAGCTGAAAAATAAACCATTTGTTACTCTTCCAGTAATTCTCAAATATTCCATTTTCTTGCATGAAATAGATTCATGTTTGTTTTCTTACAAATAAATTGGATTACTTTGGCTTTACATAAGTTATTTTAAAGTGAAATATTTTTAGAAACTTGAATCATAGCAATGAAACTATTCCTTGCTAAACTACTGTACTGCTAATCCTTTTACCAAATGTGGGCTTTTCTACTTCTTTTTGTAGAAGTGGAAAATTACTTTATCAAGTATGTTCTCAATAATAAATAAATCATATCTAATTTTAGTTATGTTAGTTAATTTTAGTAAGGCAACAACAACCTCTAAATTAAATGTCAGATCAAAAATATTTACCAAGATATATAGGCAAAACATTTACAAAGATATTGATAATATAAAAATCACTACATACAATTCATAGAGAAATATATAATAGATAAAGAAAACTTTCTTTCCTCACAGAACACAATACTTCTCAAAGGGAATGCAATTGTTACATTAAATTAACACAATAACTATTCTTTTCAAATATGGTATTTTTATTTGTAAATTAAAACAGCATCACATGTCCTAAAAATGTAATCATATGTTGTAGAAACATTATTATATCCTATTTGCCATTATATATAAATTTAGCATCTATATTAAACTTCCCAAATTCCATATAAGTTTCAAATGGAAGGGAAATATTTGTGACATGTTACAAAATTCATTATGTCTGAAAAATTATTTTGAGCTACAAACTGAAATAAAATTTAGATCTACTAATGTGCTAAAAATGTGTTTATATTATAAAGTGATGTTGATTGTTTTTTGAGGTAAAAATAATGATTACATTATAAAACAGAAGAAAGGAGTTTCAGTAAATAAGCTTCAAAAAGGGATTCGTTTTGTTTTGTTATAAGGCATTTTATGAGCATTTACCCTTTTAACTATATGACTCATAAGAACAAGAACAGAATTTGCCAGAATAGTACATAGATTTCCTATCTATTCACCCAGCTTTCCCCAATGATAATATTTAATATAGTACATTGTCAAAACCAGGAAATTGACATTGGTACTGTGTTTTAAACTAAACTAGAGATGCTATTTTTCACCATTTTTATATGCATTAATTTTTGTGTGTAGAATTATGAAATTTCATCACATGCACACATGAGAATGATCACCACAGAGATGGTGTTTGAAGCTGTGGTGTTCAATAAAGTGGTCCAGAGAGAGGTTAGGCTGAGAGAGAAGGTTTGGGATCAGAACACTGGTAAACACCCTACTTAAAGGGATAGGTCCAGGAAGAAAACATGAATAAAAAACATGAAGAATTGATCAGAGAATTGGGAGAGTGATGTGCTGGAACCCAAAGGACAGAGAGCTTCAAGGTGACCGGTGTGATGGCTGAAGGGATGCGGGGTAAAGTCAGAACTACCTAAAGTGTCCATTGGACCTGGCTAACTGGTTGTTAGTAACTGTTGCTAGAGCAGCAGTGGTGGAACTGTAGGAATAAAGAATGAATCGGGAGGTAAGGAAGTGGACACAGTGAACTATGAAATATCAAATGAGGTAAGTGGAACAATGAATGCAAACAGTGAAAGATTATAAACAAGGTGTTAGTCTGAACACACATAAGAAGGGATGATGGGTAGGTGTTAGTCTGAACGCACATTAAGAAGAGGAACATTCTAATTTTTACCTACTGAAGAGAAAAATGTGTCTTGCTAGTGAGTCATATTCAATTTAGCAATTTGAATACATGTAACCTCAACATTCCAGCTAGATTGGGGGAACTAAAAGGATCTAGCCAAGAGAAGAGAATTCTGGGAAGAGAAAATAGCCTCTATATTGTAAAGATACAAAAACAAGAGACTGATTGGGTTTTCCAAGGTTTAAAAGAAGCAGTGGTAACCAAAGGGCGGGGTGGCTGAAGGCAAGGAGGGAGAGGTGTGCAGAAGTCAGAAGTCAAGGCCCTGCAAGGCCCTGAAGACTTTAGTAAGGACTATGGATTTTATTTTTGTGCAATAGGAAGCTACTGCAAGGCTTTAAGCACTGAAAGGTTTACAGTATTGAAAGGGCAATCTGGTCGCACTGTGGAAAATGTTCTGGATAGAGGAAGGATGGGTAAGAGATGATGGTGGCTTAACCTGGGTCAGTAACAGCTTAAGTGGGAAAAAACAGATATATACAGTTGGAGCCAGGCTTGACCACTCCATGCACTGCACTGCTGGGTCCACTAATCACCCCAAGAGCAGTTAGGCCTCTCTTATTCCTGCATTAATCTTCATAGAAACAAGAACTTAGTTTCTGGCTCCAACTGATAGGCTTTGGGAAGGTGAGTCTTTAGTCCTGATCTGTTGTCCTTTCCACAACCATATGGAAGTTGCAAAGCTGACCTAGGAGTGCCAGTGCTGACCATGGGAGGCTGTCCATTGGCTGCTTGCTAGCAGCTCACTCCAAGTAGCTAGGCCAAATTTCCCTTTCCACACTCGTCCATAGACCTGAGTTTGTTTTTGTCCCTATTACAAGTGACTGTTCTTTGAGAATTCAGACCATGTCAGGGTCACAGTTATATCACCACCAAGGCCTGTCTTGACCGATAAATATCTGCTGAATGAACAAATTGGCCCTATGAAGATGACTAGGAATCCCATTCTATAAGAGGGAATCAAGGCTTACACCAGTTTTGGCCAAACTAACATCAGCAGTAAGTTGTGCAGTCAGGATGCAGACTCAGGTCTCTGACCCGAGATTTCATTAAAATTTGTTGATAGTCTTTTTAGACAACACACCCCTCCCCAAATAACATTTAACATGGAAGTTTCAAGGTCCATATAAAGTGAATGTTTTAATAGAGGACACCCTCAGTATTTCCTCATTCATGAGATGCTTTAGGGGGTAAGTTTAATTATCATTTACTGCTTTCAAACTTTATTTCTGTTGGTCTTCAGTCCTGATAGTCATATACAGCACTCCTTGGATATTCATTTTAGTCTAATTTTGTAAGAACAATATATGATCTTGCCCTGGCCAGTGTAGGTTGGAGCGTCATCTATAAACCAAAAGGTCAGGGTTTTGCTTCCTGGTCAGGACACGTGCCTAGGTTGCTGGTTTGATCCTCAGTTGGGACGTGTACAAAAGGCAACTGATCAATGTCTCTCTCTCACATTGGTGTTTCTCTCCCTCTCTGTCTTCCTCCCTTCTCTCTTTAAAATCAATAAGCATGTCTTCCGTCCAATGAGCATTAAAAAAATACACGTTATTTTAAACATTAATTTAGTCATTTTAGCAACTACGATTGTACTTTTCAACCAATGTACATGTTCACACTCTGAAAATCTAAAAGAAAACAGATAACAGAAATTAAAAATAAAGAAACAATGTGGTATCATTTGGTTAAATAAGAAATTAAAAGATTAATGTGGTTTCAGAGCTTTAAAACTTTGAACATCCTCATGACCTAAATAACATAATTCAAACTGACTTCCTTTGACATTGTAATTAAAATAATAGGAATAGCAGCACCTTCTTGCCTTACTTGTACAAAAAACTAAATAGCACATAAATTCATCATTACAAGCACTAAGATAATTTCCTAGGGTATATTTCATCATAATTCAGTTTTTAAAGCATTTGTGTAATGACTAGATCTGGGCTTTAAAACCTGCTACTCACTCTTTCATGGTACTTCTGGTTCTTTTCTCGAAGCTTCTTTATCTGAGCCATCAGTCGTTCCACTGCATTTTCCTTTATTTGACAGCTGATAATGAAAAAAGATAACATTAGTTACAATTCCTTAAGAAAAATTAGTGATACAGAATTTTAAAATTAAACTAAATTATTGGAGCTGTCATATAGTACTAAATATATTATAAAATCCATTTAAGGATAAAAATCTTTCTTTAAATATGTATTAGAGAGATAAGTTCAGTTTTTTAAATCAATCACCATTTGTATTTCATAGCAGTAATCTTGATGCTTTCCAATTGTCTATTAACAATTCAGCATTAAAGAACCTAGAAGTTGGCGCACTGAAAACATGCCTTCTAGGATTCTAAAAATGTTCAGACAAAAATGACAAAACAAAGACTTTATGAGGGCGTGCTTATCTCCTTGAAATAGTAAGGTAAACTAGGCATACCTATTGGTTCATTAATATATCAGTTCTCCTATAAATAATAAAAGCTTCTTTCCTGACACCCATACATTTTTTTCAACACTCACAAATCTTATTGAGCATCTGCTAGGTATGAGAGAGAGAAGTTCAGAAAGGCTTTGGCATAGGCCATTTGATGGCTATTTCAAATGTCAAGTATATCTTTATATCTCTCTTACCTAGTAAATCTTATAACTTTAAATCTGAGACCAAAATAAGGCCACAGAAATAGTTCTATATAAACCCCATATTTCAATTAAAAAAAACAACACAAAAATATAGCAGTTCTGTGGGGTAGTGAACAGCAGAGTAGGGGTCACTGAATGAGGAACTTCAGTTTGCCAGCTTGCCCTGCTTCTTCTTACCTATCTTACCTCAGGCAAGTCAGTTCTCTGAGACTCAATTTCCATGCTGTCAATGGAGATAACAATAGCCATCCCTACATGATTTATTAGGATTAAAATAAGAAGTCATATCTGAATGTTTCTAACATAAAGTAAATACTTAATCAATTTCAGTTGAATTTGAATCTTACTTCTTCGGCCCTTCCTCCTAATGATCATTTATACTTGTGACATTTTATATTTAGTAGAGAGAATAAGGCCCCTTCTTTCCCAATCATGAGAAAAATGGGACATGAAAGCAAAACAAGCAAATCCTTTAGTGGCAGGAAAAAAAAAAAGCTCTGTTTGGATAATATGAAACTTGGCTTTTAGGCTTGGTTCTCCACTAAACTGCCTCTTAACCTCTTTAGGCCTCTGCTTGTTCTTCTATAAATAAGAGAATTAAAGGAGATGAGCTCTATCTTTCCTTTTCAGTTCCAAAATTCTACAGTTAAATTTGTCAGTGTTCCCTTCCGTGCAGTGGCCCATACAACACAGAGGTAATGAGCAGCCTCCACGTGCCCAGTATCATTTGGGCTATACAGAGATAGTGACGGACAGTATCTTTATGGTCTCTGCCCTCAGAGAGCTTACATTTTACTAGACACTAAAGAAGTAAACACACAGACATGTTATTTACACATTGGGATACATGCTGTGGGGAAAATAACAGGATATGAGAACAGTAGTAAATGGAAAAACTACTATGGTTAGGCTGGCCTCCACACAATAGTTACAAATAAAGATAGAGATAAGTATAAACCATCTTTTACTTCTTACCTAAAGCTTAGATATACACAAATTTTGAAAGAGTGCACCTTCTACCTCCTTTTTAAAAAAAATTATTACTCAAGGATATGTTTATTGAGAGAAAAACATCGATGTGGATGAGAAACATTGATTGTCTTCTTCCCACACTCACCCTGATCAGGATTGAACCTGCATCCTAGGTTTGTGCCCTGACTGGGAATTAAACCCACAACATTTTTTTCTTTTTTTTGGTGTACTGGAGGATGCTCCAACCAACTGAGCCTCTGGGCCTGGGTTCTACCTCCCTTTTTTTTTTTTTAATATATTTTATTGATTGTGCTATTACAGTTGTTCCATTTCCCCCCTTCACTCCCCTCTACCCTGTACACCCTCTCCCACCCACATTCCCCTCCATTAGTTCATGTTCACGTGCCATAAGTTCTTTAGCTTCTACATTTCCCATACTATTCTTGCCCTCCCCCTATCTATTTTCAACCTACATTCTATGCTACTTATTCACCATACCTTTTCCCCCTCTCTCCTCTTCCCACTCCCCTGTTGCTGACCTTCCATGTGATCTCCATTTCTGTGGGTCATTCCTGTTCTAGTTGTTTGCTTAGTTTCTTTTGGTTTTGTTTTAGGTGTGGTTGTTAATAATTGTGAGTTTGCTGTCATTTTACTATACATTTTTTTATCTTCTTTTTCTTAGATAAGTCCCTTTAACATTTCATAAAATAAGGGCATGGTGATGATGAACTCCTTTAACTTGACCTTATCTGAAAAGTACTTTATCTGTCCTTCCATTCTAAATGAAAGCTTTGCTGGATAGAGCAATCTGGGATGTAGGTGCTTGCCTTTCATGACTTGGAATACTTCTTTCCAGCCCCTTCTTGCCTTCAAGATCTCTTTTGAGAAATCAGCTGACAGTCTGATGGGAACTCCTTTGTAGGTTACTGTCTCCTTATCTCTTGCTGTTTCTAGGATTCTCTCCTTCATTTTTACCTTGGCTAATGTAATTGTGATGTGCCTTGGTGTGTTTCTTCTTGGGTCCAACTTCTTTGGGACTCTCTGAACTTCCTGGACTTCCTGGAAGTCCATTTCCTTTGCCAGAATGAGGAAGTTCTCCTTTATTATTTGTTCAAAGAACTTTTCCATTTGTTGCTCCTCCTCTTCTCCTTCTGGTACCCCTATAATTCAGATGTTGGAACATTTAAAGATGTCCTGGAGGTTCCTAAGCTTCTCCTCATTTTTCTGAATTCTTATTTTTCCATTCTTTTCTGTTTGGCTGTTTCTCTCCTCCTTCTGGTCTACTCTATTGTTTTGAGTCCCAGTTTCCTTCCCATCACTATTGGTTTCCTGTGCATTTTCCTTCATTTTTCTTATTGTAGCCTGCATTTGTTCATCTAATTTGTGATCAAAATCAACCAATTTTGTGAGCTTCCTGATCACCAGTGTTTTGAACTGTGCATCTGATAGGTTGGCTATCTCTCAGTCATTTAAAATGATGGGTTCTGGGGCTTTGATTTGTTCTTCTGTTTGAGGCATCTCTCTCACTCTCTCTCTTTTTTTTTTTTTTTTGGGTCTGGTCTCTCCTGTTACAGTAAGGGGCGGAGCCTTAGGTGTTCACCAGGGCAGAGCACCCCAGTCGCTAAGTTGTGACATTGTATGTGGGGGTGGGGTCAAGAGGGAACAATGGCTCTTGCTCCATTCTTTGTGGGACCTCAGTCCCTTCTGCTGCTTCCCGTGAACAGACTGGGCCCCTCTGGTGCCAATTCCTGTGTGGGTGGGCTTGTGCATGCCGTGGGACCCTCTAAGACCTCTCCTGTGAGGTGTGTCTTTGTGTGTCTCAACTCCCACAGGTGACCTCAATCAGTGTCCCAAGGCTCTATTTCCCAGCGCTGGGATCCTGGGTTGTGTGCACGGCCTTGCTTTACAATCGCCGGCTCACTGGGTCTGCCAGTTGGCACCCCTTGGCTGGGGTCTGCCAGCTGCTGCTTGCACACTCAGGGTCCACCCACTGTGGTCTTTCGTACCCCAGATGCCTTACGTAGCCCGTCCCAACTCTCTCTGCTCTCTGAGCCGTGACCTGCACCTGGCTGCCCGACTCCACCCCTCCTACCGGTCTAGATGAACATATCTATTTCAACTTCTTGGTTGTCCGACTTCCATTCAGATCAATTTTCTCTCAGTTCTGAATGTTATTCTGTTTCTAAATTATTGTTGTCTTTATGTTGGTTGTACATGGAGGCATGGTGTGTCCACCTATGCCTCCATCTTGGCCGGAAGCCTACCTCCCATTTTTAAGGAGAAAATTAAAAAGATTATAAATGAAAATGATTTGAAAAAAGCCTATGCTAATTACTCACATAATTTCTAAAATTATAATATGGTGATCCTAATTCTCTGCAAGGATAGAGCAGGCAAATGAATCGCAAGTATGTGATCTCCACTGGTTTGGACTGAGAGCCTGCCTGGATGATAATTGAGCACGCAAAGATCAAACTGGAGATTATGTTCGGTCCAACCCCCAGGTATTGCATGGAACACACTTGTACTAAAAAAAATGCTTATTGGAAATTCAAATTAAATTGGTCATCTATATTCTTATTTGCTTATTGGAAATTCAAATTAAATTGGTCATCTGTATACTTATTTGCAGTCCACCCTGCACTTAAGTCTACCTGTTCCTTCCCCTCAGAGCAGTGAAGGACAAACAGCCCGGGGCTTTGTCTTCTGTTCCTTCTGTAGTTCAGAAAGATCTGAGTGACCTCAGGGGGGGATTTCTTTAAAGAATTTTATTTATTTTACTTTTAGAAAGAGGGGAAGGGAGGAAGAGAGAGAGGAAGAGAAACATCAATGTGTAAGACATACATCAATTGGTTGCTTCTTGCACACCCCCAACTGGGCCCTGGCCCACAACCAGGCATGTGCACTGAATGGGGATCAAACCAGCAACCTTTCACATCTCAGGCTGGCGCTCAGTCCACTGAACCATACCAGCCAGAGCAACTGAGGGCATTTCTGAGATACCCTAACCTTTAGTAAAGGTTCTGGCAGCTCCATCGTCTTCCCCCTGCCCCCGAGTTCTGGAGCTGATGTTAGTTGTAGGTCTAACTTACCCTAGACTCTCCTTGGGATTAACTTCCATCTCCTCAGGCCTTATGGAGAGATGAATTTACTAAGAAGCAGATGAAGATGAACTTCAGAACTCCACACTATTAGCCAGTGCAGGAATTCAAGATTCACCATTCTCTATACTTTTTCCTTTTCATATCTCCATCATCTCTGCAATGCCCAGTAACCCATATGTCACAGTAAATGATAATGCAAGTAGCATAATAAACCAGTGAGGCAATGTGTCAACTTCCCCCTCAATGTAATTTCACTGAGAATTCTAAGAAGGAAAATACATTTGGATTCCAAAAAATTGTATACTTTTATCTTTTTAAAAAATCTATAACCATACCCACATCTATTTCTATATCTATATCCACACTCCTTGCAGAAAACTTGGGGGGTACAGATACAAGGAGAAAATAAGAACTGTCATCACTCAGAGATGATCAGCTTATAGGTTTACAGTCAGCCATCTCAGCTCTTCCCAAACAACAATGGAATTTCATGATCTTATTTTCTTGGGATATATTTTTTTTAAAAGTTCAGTTGTTCAGAAATCATTGATCAACTACCACGTGCTCTCAGCTCTTTGTTAGAAGCTGCTGTTAGATGCTACCAGGAGACCCTTAAAGAATCCTTCCTCAGACAATAAGTTGTGTCTTGCTGATTTATCATGTGACAAAAGTTCTGTCACCTGGGAACACATGGAGTGAGTAAAGTGTCCCTAGCAGCAAGGCTGTGGCTGTTTCAGTCCATAAGATTGTTTATTCAGTTGTTGCAAAGGAAAGAGAACAAAAGCATGGGATGTTTAATTTATACCTTGTACTAGATCATGAGAATTTTTAAATGTTTGCTGTTTTGTAAACCTCAGTTAAATAGTGGGAAGACTGGCCTCTGTTTGACCCAGAAGAGAGAGAAACAGTTGTAATTGGATGGTATCACTGTAAACTGTGGTAACAAATTAGAGACCAGGTTGTATTTGCAGAGTCTGATGTTTTGTCCATCTCTCCTAAGATGAGATGAGGAACTTTTCAGTTAGACCAAAAAATGAGTGCAGGCAGTATCTGGTTATTACTTAAAGTCATCTCAAGCAGAAAATAAGAGGGAACTTTGTTAAAAGTCCCTTTCCATGGATCTTTCTCTCTTAGTGTTCTAACCTTCTCACTTACTGCCTTCTTAAAAGAACATATGAATAGTCTCTCAAGAAGGAGATGAATTTCCCTGAATGTTAAAAATAATTGTCTTAGCTCTGACTGGTGTGGCTCAGTGGATTGAGTGCTAGACTAAATACCAAAGGGCCGCTGGTTCAATTCCAGCGACACATGCCTGGGCACATGCCTGGGTTTTGAGTCAGGTCACCAGTAGGGGATGCATGAGAGACAACCACACATTGATGTTTCTCTCCCTCTCTTTCTCCCTCCTTTCCCCTCTCTCTAAAAATAAATAAATATCTTAAAAAATGATTGTCTTAAACATAGACCTCGTCACCACTATCATGGATTCCCCACTTTCCACCTTGTCTCCTTCAATAAATGACTTGCCATTCCTGAATTGCAAGTATTCCACAGGGCTCGGCTTAACTGGCCCTGGCTGAAGCCATCTGAGTCTGGGCTTGCCCTTTCACCCTCTCTCTTCCTTCTCTCATTTCCTGGACTGTAGCAAGCATTTCCTTGTCCCAGTGTCTTTTCCATAAGCCTTTCTCTCTACAACTGTGTTGGGAACCGCCCTGACTGGTATCAGAAGCTGAAACCCCCGCCTAGGCTAAGGCTAAGGGAACGCCCTTGGAACTGTAAGCCAGCAAGGAGACAAAAGCTTATCTTCCTGGCAGGAATGCTGCTTCTGCTGCTTTATTCATAACTGAACCCCAAAAAGCTTGGTCGGTTAGCCAAAGACGGGTAAGATTCCCCATGGGGGGAACGACCTAAGACAGGCACGATCACTTTGGGAGGCCCCCCCAAAAGAAGGACTTGGGGGGGCTGCAGCAAAAGGGGGGTGATGGACCCTCGCTCCTCGGCTTTGACATAGCCTGAGTTCTCAGCATCTGGGAAAAAAACCTCCTTGTCTCCCAGTTGCCTTAGTTCCCTTGCTCCACCTAAGCCTGAAACAATGACAGGGTGGTGCAGTTCTGTACTGAGAAGTGCGGATTCCCCGGGGTGATCAGGCCTAAGAAAGAACATGTAAATTACTGTGAAACCTCCTTTGTTTAGAATGCTCTCAGTTGAATGAGAAGGGTCTTAGGAGGAAGTTATTTTGTTCTTCAGTCTTACAGCTCTTTGACCCCCAACTCAATAGGCTGGCAGAGTTTATTGTTTTCTATGGTTCCTTACTTCCCCCTAATGAGTACTGTACTTCACCTGAATTATTATGCAAAATGAGCCTAATAAAAGCAGGTATGGACAGTAAATCAGTGCGCTCCCCACTGGGGGGGTGGCCATTTCGTCCCCACTGGGGGGGGGGGGTGGCCATTTCGTCCCTACTTCCCCACAGAAACTAGTTTGTCTCTGTGCATGTTGTTATTTCTCACGTGTTTATCATCGAGCCATCCACAGCGTTCCGTGGTCACTGCTGGCCGGTGACCCACGCGCAACACAACTGTATGTCTTCATAACACCCACTCCTCTTCCAGAGATCAGCTGAAGGATTTCTTCCTAAAATAAGCTTTTCCTGACCCTGCTATGGCACCCTGCACTTTTTTCTTTTTTTAGAGAGAGAAGAAATGGCAGAGAGAGAGAGAGAGAGAGAGAGAAACATCGGTTTATTTTCCACTTATTTATGCATGCACTGATTGCTTCTTCCTGTATGCACCGGGGATCCAGCCTGCAGCTTTGGTGTACTGGGATGATGCTGTAACCAACTGAGCTACCCAGCCAGGGCCCTATACTTTTCTTTCATAGCACCTTAATTGTAGTTATATAATTTTTTTAAAGCTTGAGTTAATTGCCTAATGTCTGTCTCTCATGCTTACTCAGGGCAGGGACCACGTGGTCCTGCTCACTGCTACCCTCCAGTACCCAGCAATTGCCTTGTTCTTGGTAAACATTCAAGTATTAGTTCAATAATGCATGCATGAAGTGCATTCTTATTTGGAAAAAGACTGACATAGATGTGTAATCACTCATTCCCTAAGAATTACATATTAAAACACTAACCCAATGCCAGAAGTTCAGGTTCAAAAGCTCTCAAGGGGCTCACTTTCCATTGGTTGGATAAAACATAGAATAGGTATTACCTCTAGTTTTGTCTCCAGCTCCTTGGAGTGGAAAATTAAGAAATATCATTCTTATTAAAAATAATTCTAAATCATTTGTATTTGATCTGTAGCTATTTGGAGATAATGCAAATTGGAATGTCTGGAAATGAAAAGTTAAATAAAGAAGAAAACTTTCCTCGTTTACTCTTCTGTGAATGTACGCTAACTATTCTATGTTGCATTTTAAAGTGTGGCCAGCAAGCTGTTGTGTGTATATATGTGGGACAGTGACCAGCAACACAATGGGGGGAGGGAGGGGGCTGAAACCACAGTAATGAATGCTGTTTCATAGCTACCCCTTGGACTATGTTACCATTAAAGTTTCAAAAACTTTCAAAAATATGCACTTAGCACAGGAGTGCCATTATGCCTTCAATCTACCTTCAATCCGGCCCCACTGACAGATTTAAAATTATCTTATTTTATTGAAGTTATTGGGGTGACAATGATTTTCAAAGCCATACAGGTTTCAGGTGCACCACCCTTGACAGCTTTTGAGCGCGTCATTTGTGTTTGGAGTGGGACGAGTGTTTACAACGGTCGCCATTTACACGTGGAAACCTTTGGATTCAAGAGACCGTTAACAATCTAAGCTTACTGATAGTCTAGAAATGCTTCACTGGTAGGCAATTTCACTTCTTTCAGCAGCCCATCTTGAATATCCTTTTTATTTGCTTTCGCTGTATTTTCCATCGTGTTGCTTAGCTAGTAAGAAACCTGTTTTGAAAGAAAAGATATAAGAAAAGCAAATAAACTCTTGGTGTTAACCCCTCTACTTGTATTTACTCAAGCTAAGACACTACTGAATCTTAATTTGAAACGGGCTTTTCAGCCCAGACTGTCTCCCACCTAACACCCACCACTAGTCCGTAAATCACTGGGTCCTTGAGTTCGGGGAATTCTGTCTTTAGCCCAGGTTCAGCGTCGCCCTGCCCAAAAGTGTGGGCGATCTGTCCCCTTATGTTATCCATATACAGCTGTTGCCCCTGTCAAGCTTTTTCAAGAGCAAGGACTAAACTTTTTCAATCACTTTATTTCTCCACAGTGCTTGGCAGCATGCACTGCATATAGCAGCTGCTCAGTAATGTTAATTTGGAAAAAGTAAGATGATGCAAAAGCACAATTTTCTATGATCACCAAGAAACTTGGATCTAAAGGAATTAGGCTTGCTCATAGTTGTTATAAAGAGCTAATAAAAGCACACATTAAAGTGTTTTTAAGTGGTTAAGAGGTTTATAAATACAATGTAATAACAACGTATTATTATTAACAGTAACTGTTCACCTAATAAAAAATTTACAAAAATAATATTTTAAAAAGGGTAAATCAGGCCCACTGTTCAGATATTTTTTATAGTAAACAGGAATACTTCATAGATTTGATATGGGTACTAAAGTACATCTTTTCAGATCATAGTCTTTTTAAACAGATTTTTTAAATCTTTCAATTTCCATCAACCTCTAAAAAATAACTCCCTAACTTTCAGTCAATGTAATAGTAGTTGGATATGGGAGAAGGAGCATAACCATTGTGATTTTTTAAATGGCTGGAAGCTCCACGAAACTGACAGTGATGTGATTCTGGTGCATCACTCTGCTTCCTGCCCTAGCACAACAGATGCGCAACAAATGCCCGTCGGAGGAAGAAATAAATAAGACGGGTGAATAATACAGGCAGACATGTTTAATCCTGGATCCACTGCCTAGTATCTACGTAACCTTGAGTAGGTCACTTAATGTTTTCGAGCTTCAGTTTCACTATCTGTAAAGTGAGAACCAAAATCTTATTCTGAAAGCTGTCATAGGGTTAAGTAAGCTAATATTTATAAGGCACCCAGCATAGTGTCTGACATATAAAGAGAATTTAATAAATAAATATTATGCCCCCTATGGTTACAGTTCCAGACTGTGCTTCTTCAAAGGGAAAGCAGAGCTGCCCGCCTGCGGCCAAGCATGACGATATGTGGGAAGGCTGCTCTGTGCAGTCTGCTATTGTCAATATTCATCATCGATCTGGACCACTGGATTGGCAGTCCACGTGATTATTCACATCCACAGTGGAAAAAGTCTCTGAAATGAAAACACACTTTTTTTTTTTTTCCTGTAGACATGCTGCTCACACACCCAGGCCTCCAGCAAGGCTCGGTCTTTGTGTCTGAGATTTTCTAGCTAAGTGTGTTCATCTCTGCACTCTGATTAGAGTTTTTGTGAATGCAAATGTACTACAATACCTTCCAACTGAAAATCATATAGGTGACACAACAAAAAGATGTAACACATTAAGACAAGGCAATATATGAACTGCTATCTTCTCAGATATGAAAGTATTGAAAATAATTCCATAAGCTATGAACCAAAATGTGTCTTTACACCATCACAGTTCACAGAAATTTGTCAGCAAAGGGAAAAATTGCTTTCTTTTGTTTCAGATGCAGAGTTGAACTTTTATCTTATTTTCTATATTTTAGAATTAGAATTTTTAACTTGACAGTTGCACAAAAAGGTAGCATGCTGACAAGTTTGCCATTTTATAATAACTTACTATTTAACAATGATTTCTACTATAGAATATTTCATTTAAAAATTAAAACAAATGTCAACATTCATCTCTAATTTTCTTTCTGAGTCATATGGAACAGATCGAAGCCGTATGGTTCCCACCTGCAGCACCCATCTGGTGCTGGAGGGAAAAATGACCTCATCTGCAAAATTACCTCAGTTACCTGGCTCTGATGTTTTCAACTATGTGACTAATGTATAATTAGTTACCTAACTGCAGCTGATGGCAAAGGATTTTAATAAAATATGAGTGGAAATGTGGATCCATTAAGCACAAATGACTTATGCATAAAGTAAATTAAGATTCATTTTTCACACACTTTCCAGAAAATTAGTAAGCCATTTGGATTGCCTGCTTAATAGTTGCATCATTGTAAATAACTAATGACATCACCTCAACATGCACTTTTGCATTTGATAATGTTCTACAAACAATGAGGGTTTTTATAAATATTTACAAGGTTTTACAGTTCCTGACTACTTAGATGATTTCTATATTGGTAAAGGCTGAGAATTCTATAAAACCCTCACAAAGTAATGTAATTATCTTCCAGGGAGGCTTCACTTAGACTATTTCCTGACAATGGACACCTAGTCTGTTTGTCAGTAACCACAGACACTTACTCAGTGCCTGCTCTGTGTTTGGCACTTTATCTAGCCTTTGGTTATAGAATACAGAAGAGGCAAGAACTTGACTCAGACTGACAGGGAAAAAGAAGCATGCCCCAGCAGAACTTTTAAAAAATAGTCAACATCTTTAACAGACTTCAGCCAAATTGTGCATGATATGGAGGTCTTTAGTCGCTGTGCGACCCTTCGGGCCATCTGTGTTCCCTCTGCCTGGGCATTCCATAACATGCCGTGGGGTGCGGGCCGGTGAGGAGGCTGGGCTGAGAGACTCAGGTCTCCAGCCTTCCCAGAGTCTACTTCATAATCACTTTCTGTCAGACATTTTTAAAAAAATATTCCCCAAATGCTTCTCAGTGAAAAGAAGTCTGTTTTGTAAAAGTGGACATATGATAATCATTTCTTCAATGTAGTTATTCCATAATGCTTTACTTGACTCTGCAAAATGACCCCAGAAAGAAAGAGTATGTCCTCTCCTGTGTAGTCTCAGGAGACTGGCTCGGTATCTAGAAAGTTCCTAAACACTGTTTTTCATGATTTTGTGGAGCCATGAATATCCAGAAGGCTCCTTAATGACTGTGTCATAATTTTGCAGAGGCTGAGAGATGGGAGGGCTGCCCCTTCCTGGGGAGCAGCTAAAAATAGTTTGAAATTCTATTTCATTTGGAATTGATCCTGATGTCTGTTAGCTAATATTTCATATAAATGCAGATTAAAAGGAAAGATATTTACTTAGTAGCATTAGTAATGACAACAGTTCCGGGTAAGATTCCAATAGCGGTTGAGAGCATGATGTACTTAAAAGGTCTGTACATGGCGTTGGAAGTCTTGAAGTCTAATCCTGGCATTGCCATTAACTAGCTACAAACTTGTGTAATCTAATACTACTGCTTCCACCACCACCACCACCACCACCACCACCACCACTACTAATGTGGTACTTCCAAAGGCCTTTGTTAAAGAATAATCTCACTTTAAAGACATGTGTCTTGTACAGTGTTAATTGTACTATATATCTGAAAATATTCATGGCACTCATCTCTGACAAAATATAGCTCTTTCAACATTGAATAGCAACTCGCTATTTCAACAAACCCTTATCTTCCCGAATTCAAAATAGATATTGGCACATTGGCCCAACCAGCTACCTAATAAATGTCTGATTTGAAGGAATGACTTGTACATAATGCATACTCGCTTTTTTTATAAACCTCACCCAGGGACATTTTCTTCATTGCATTTTAGAGCAAGAGGAAGGGAGAAAGACAGAGAGGAAGAGAGAGAGAAATATCTGTGTGCCTGGACCGGGAATCAAACTCGCAACTCAGGTATGTACCCGAGTAGGGAATGAAACCCACCACATTGCAGTTACAGAATGACACTCAGGCCAACTGAGCCACACCCGCTGTAGTAGTTACCAGTGGTCCTGCTTATGTGCTTCTGATGCTGTCTGCACCCTAACTTTGGAAATCAAAGCAAAATCATTTTTAAACTCAAATTCTCACTTCTGCTAGGACACATTTTAAATACAACTTTTAAATGTTTTACAAATGTGCTCCAGCATATGTTAAAAACAAAAACAAAACCTGAATGCTTTTAAAGTCATTTAGTAGTGATAACACTGCTAAAAGTCAGCTTAAAAAACTTCAGACCTCCTTTGTACAGATTATGTACCTGTAGCCCAAAACGAAACAGCTTTAAATTGTAGAATACAGCCAGCTTAACAATATGTTAAACAACCATATAGTAAAACCAAGGCATTTAAAATTATCTGGCCGAGGACCATTTTCAGCTTTCACTCACGTGATTGTGATGTGCATTACGGTAGCGTGTATTTCCCTCACCAACACAAGTCCTTTGGTCAGCGGCACATTTTTGAACTGCAGTTCCCAAATTATACTGGATTCTTAGCTTAAAAATTGATCTGCCTCTTGATCCCAAATAGCTAAAAATAGTTTGAAATTCGGTATGTTATACTAACTTTTCTAGCAACCAGAACTACCTCCCCCTGCCCCCCCCCGCTCTTCTTCAGTTTTAGAAATGTCAAGAAAGACAAGAAACATAACCATGAAGAGATTATAGTGAGGATAATGGAAACACAAGCAGTACTCTCATACTCTGACAGAGTGGGAGAACAAAAAGGTCTCTATCTTCAAACGGCAGTGGTGAATGTAAGAAGGATCTACGAAATTTGGGTCTTGGGGTGGCAGACAGGAAATCCGTGAGCAATTAGCACACACACTAAATATCCAGTCATTATTGACCTCTGCCTTCACAGAATTTTTTTTTCCCCTCTTAGATGGGGTATCTTTTCCCACTTCTGAACCATTTCAACTCTTTGCCCAGCAGAGAATCATGGGGAAACAAGTCAGTTTCTACAAATCTAACAAATTAATTCAATAATAAAAGAAAGAAAAATCTATGGATCAGGAGTGAGGATGAAAGGGCGTCGAGAACACACCTCCGGAGGGAGGGGCTCGGGTGAGGTCCTCACGCAGAAGGCACGCCGCCGCCTGGCGGTCGGGGAGAAAAGCACTAGCAAAAGCGAGGCATCCGGCTCCCTGGCTCGTCCACCCGTGAACAAGTCTCTAAGCCTCTCTGACCCTCCGTCTCTCTTCCATCTTTCCTAAGTCCACCCAGAGTTCTTGATGAAGCTCAAACGCTTTGGGAAAACTGTCAAGTGCTAAAGCCCCATACAAATAGAAGGCATTGTTGCTTTACTGAGCAGCTGCCTTGTGCTGGGACTGCGAGGCTTCGTGAAAGTTACAAACCTGATGCGAATTCAGATCCCGCCCTCTGGGAGAGGACGGTCTACAATGGCACTCGGGCAACGTACTGCAAGGCAGAAAGACAGGTGGGTTAATATTCGGGCCAGATGGAAAGATCTCCCTCGCCCTGTTTCCCGGGTGTCGAGGCGGGGTGTGGCCGTCAGGACCCCGCCCAGGGCCCCCAAGGACGCAGGAACAGCTCCCGCGGGAGGACACCCGGAGGGCCCGGCACCAGGCCCACTTCAGCGCCCAGCGAGCTGGGACCGGTCAGAACCGGTGGGCACAGGGCCGAGACGCCCGTTAACAGTCAGCCTAGAAGGAGACGGGGACCCAGTGAGTCTCTCCACCTGCCTTCACGGCTTCCAAGTGCGGGTACCCCGCAGTGGACCAGCGGGAAGCACTCTCGTGGGGCCTTCGGACTAGACCCACCTACTCGCTCGCCACTGCCAACGCCCGCAACACGCCCTCCGTTTCCACGGCGACCCGCGGGGTGTGGCCTCCAGGATCCACAACCAAGCACAGCCGCGAGCCGTGGGCCGGGCGCGCCACCTGGTGGCCACATCGGGGAGAGTCCGGGCCAAGGGTCCGTACTGCTGTCTTCGCTGCAGCGGTGCACCTTCCCGCCGTCGTCAAGGCGGGATTTTCACCCCTGCAGATCACCCGCTGATTCCGCAAAACTCTCACGCCCCTCCGTGCTTCCCTCTAGTGGCAAAACGAGAAGTGGTGAGCTGTGTACAGTCGTGACCTCCGGCCCCTGTGCTGTGCCTGTGAGCCGGTGGCTTTCGTCTCTGTTCGTTTGTAAAACGAGACCTCGGGACTTACTGGTGGGTGGATGGGGAAAGGGGTGCATTCGCCCGCCTCTGACCCACTCAGCCCCTTCCACCACGGCAGCTCTTCTTCCATCTGCTTTTGTTTTGCGTTCTTTTGGGTTTAGCTCCAAATAAAATTGCCAACCCCTGGACTAAGTGCTTACTTACATGGTAATTTCCAGCTCTAAAAGTCCTTGACTCTATTTTCCTTCTTGCTTTACTTTTTTTGCTCCTAAACTTCAAGAAAACCAATACTGATAACATCTTTCCCTGTTTCCACCTTTTGTAGCTTAAAGTTTCCCCTTTCTTTGCCTGCATTCTTTCTCATTCTTTGCTTCAAGAGTTTCTTTTTTTTAAATTTTATTTTAATTGTTGTTCAAGTACAGTTTTCTGTCTTTTACTCCCATCCCAGCCCACCCACCCACCCACCCATCCCTCCCCACCTCCCTCCCATTTCCACACCCTCCCCAGTGTTTGTCCATGTGTCCTTTATATTTGTTCCTATAAACCGTTCCCCTTTTCCCCTGAAATTCCCTCTCCTCTCCCCTCTGATCACTTTCAGCCTGTTCTCTATTCAGGACAATTTCTTACATCCTGGGAGTACCTACTTCACTAGTTACACGGCGGTTCTTTTTCTATCCTTTTGTCCTGGGAAGACAGAAGTGGGGTGTTCCTTTGGGCTTCCACTCTTTTCATAAGTCACCTGTTTGGTAGTCTTGAATTTGATTTTTAAAAATAGGTTATTGTGTGTTTTATGATTAATGTTGTGTTATATTAGTAACATAGTAAGAACTTCTTAAAGGAAGGGAACTGAAGCAGTGAATGAAAATGCGAATTATCTTTTAGTTAAGGGCATTTATGTCATCAGTAGAAAGCCATCCAAAATTAACCAGTTTGATATAATTAATGTGTTCCATCTCTTTATTTTATCAGTGTTCCATATTTAAGTGCCAATAATTTGCTATGCTCTATGTATTTGAGAAGGGCTTTTGTATTTATCTTCCCTAGAATAACAACAGGTGGCAAAATTATTCAATAGAATACAAATGCAGGAGAAAAAAAAAGCTATCACCCCAAATTTTTAGAGCATGGAGATATTTTTTTGATTGTTTGTTAAATGGAAAAACGATTTTGTGATTCTTCAGCACTTTGAATTCATTCCCAAGTATTTCCTATAAATCATGGGCCTGCTTCTTTTACAAGAGCTTGGGCCTATAGTCAAAAATGTACTTGTACCCTATCATTTATCTCCTGTGCAGTTTTTCTTATGGTGTTTGCCAGTTGGTGGTCAAACAGTGAAGCCAGATTAAAAAACATTTGCCAAGTTTCCTCATTTGACCTCGATTTTCTGTTAGCCCTTATGTTGGATGAGGAAAAGGAGATAGGAGACTTTCTGTGGTAGAAAAAGCCACATTTGTTGTCTGGTTTGAACAGAAACACAAAGAGCCTATTTGGTATGCACAGTTGCTAAATATTTTATACTTTAAAAATGTTTTTATTTGTTTTCATTGAGGATCACTACCTCTGCAAACAGACCCTAAGGCAATCGTCTAAATGTGTTCATAGTAAATCTCTAATAATTTTAGAGACCTGAGCTAGTGATTAACCTATCAACTTTGCCAATCAGTTCAAACTTCTAGTAAACAAAAAAATTTACTAACAACAAAGTTACTTTTGAGAAATGGAAAAGCCCTGCTGTAACTTCTTATCCAAATCCTTTTTCCTGACAAATTTGAAACAATTAAATTGGTGTTTTGCAAACAGGAAATCATGAAGTAAAATATTCTCTTGAGAGGAAAAGTTTATGCTCCCTTTAAGCAGGCAGGATAACAAACTCATGTAGGGGACTGTTTGACCCAACATGCATTGGCATGTTGCAATAGGGTAAAACAGGATTGTTTTCCACGTTATTTTTATGTCACAGTATTTTCCTTCAGGCCAGAGGCAGAGCCCTGCCATCCATCCTCTTCTCTTCAGCTCTTTAAACCAAGTTTAAACGTGGATGACCAGAACGCTGGCAAAAAGAGACCACATTTCTTTCCCCCCACCTATCCCCTCTGCCTAACTAATTTTTGAAATTACTTTTATGAGCTCTTTGTTCTCTCTGAAGGAGAAGAGCCCAGAATGGAAAGCGAGAGCCAGAGTCACATCTCAGGAACTGAGCTGGGTGATGAGGACCGTGCCTGAGGGTTTTGGGTGTGATCTCATGAGAGCAGTCCAGCTACAGTGAGTTGCAGCCTGCTTCCAGCATTTTAAAAATATGACCACATAGAATATATGTACAAATCAGGAGAGTGTGACCCCAAAATCCAGAAACAGACAAATACAGGTACATAGATATTTATACTCAGTTTCTTCAGACAAAAGTGCCAAGGTAATTAAATGAAGCAAGGATAGTATTTTCAACAAATGCTACTGTAACTATTGCATATCTGCTGTCTGTCTGGTAAAAAGAAGAGTCTTGACTGACCATACACTATATAAAAAATTAACTCAAAATGGATCATAGATCTGAACATAAAAACTAGAGAAGCCAAGTATAGGTTCTGTGGTCAGCTGTTCTAGCTGAGCCCACAAAGTGCCAGATGTATCAGTGAAGCCGTCGTGGACCCTTCCAGCTAGTCCATTCAGCAGCTGAATGTTGCTGAGTTAACCTCTCAGTCAGTGCCACAAGAGATCGCCAATGACCCACCTACAGAATCTGAGATACGGTGGTGGTTTTAAGCCACTATGTGTTGATAGTGTATCAGTTACCTATTACTATGTAACAAATTACCCAAAGTTGAGTGATTCAAGACAACAGTAATCACTTACTACCTCACAGTTTCTATGGACCAGGAATTCGGGAGCAAGTTGACCGGGCAGTTCTGACTTGGGTATCTCAGGAGGTCAGACGTTAGACTCTATCTGTGCCTGAAGGCACTTTCAGTCTAGGGGGAGGGAGGGACAGACAAGTTAATAGGCAATTGCAACACAGTTGGATAACTCCTGGAATAGGGGTAAATGCAGAGTGCTCAGGGCAAACCTAAGCCAGTCCTGAGGGTCAGGGAAAAGTTCCTAGGGGAAGTGAGATCTCATTTGAGACTTGACAATGAGCAGAAATTAGACAGTTTGGAGGGCTGGGCATGAGAGGGGCTGGGACAGAGGGATGGGCATGTACAATGGCCTAGAGGTAAAAACAGAAAAGGTAAGTTTCTCATGGCACTGAAAGAAATTTAGTAGGGTCTTGGAGAGAGGAGGGGTGAGACAGGGGGCTGGAGAAGCGAGCAGGGACAGATCCCGATGGGCCCTCTAAACCATGCTCTTTGATGATGACAAAAAATCAGTCTGGCTGGAGTGTGGATGAGGGCAGGAGGGGTCAAGATGGGGACAGTTTCAGGATGAACTCCACTGACCACAGTTGCAATCTTTCTTCTGCCTCAGGGCTTCTCACTTCAGTCTAGTTTCTGGTCCAAGAAACTTGTCTCACGCTCTGCCTTTTGTAAGACTGCAATGATTGGCGAAAAGAATGACCTCATCTCCTTGGCTAAAGTTATCAGCTTGCCCCATCTTTGGAGCTTTCTGTGATTCAGATAAGATGCTTACTCCCACACCAGGAAGTAGTTAGTCTATGAAACTCTGCTTCCAACAAACATATTAAAAGAATTAGAACGTATGGAGAAACATTACTTCACATCTGGAGAATGAGGCAATATAAACTCTAACTCCCATCTTTTAAGAACTGTATTGTTTTCCAGTTGTCTCCCCCCGCCTTTTTTTTACTATGGTAAGAACACTACATAAGATCTACCGTCTTAACAACATTTTAAGTGCACATTATGATACAGCTAACTATAGGCACCATATTTAACAACAGATCTCTAAAATTTATGCACCTAGTGTAATGGAAACTTTCTATCTGTTGAACAGCAACTTCCCGTTTCCCCTACCCTGAACCCTGGCCCCCACCATTATCCCCTGCTTCAGTGTGTTTGACTGTTTCAATACTTTGTGTGAGTGGAATCAGGCAGTACTGGCCCTTCTGTGGCTGGCTTTACTTCCCTTAGCATGATGCCCTCCAGGCTTATCCACGTTGTCACAAATGGCAGGATTTCCTCTATATGTTTTTAAGGCTAAACAATATTCCAGGGTATGAATATACCATGTTTTCTTTCTTTGTTCATCCCTTAATGGACAGTGAGGTTGTTTCTGCATTTTGGTTATTCTGAATAATGCAGTGGTGAACATGGGAGTGTAAATGTCTTTGATTTCAGTTCTGTTGAATAATGGGGTTACTGGATCATTTGGTAGTTCTATTTTTAATTTTTTGAAAAACCTCCATACTGTTTTCCAAAATTGTTATACACAATGCAATAGCTTTCTTGTTAGTCAGAAACAGTGGTTTAGAACAGACTATGGGAAAATGTGCCATATAAAAATACCACAAACAGAATAAAGAGGTTAACTACAATACTAATAGTATATATTCAAAACTTAAGTAATAATTTGTAAAAAGTTCTCAAAACTTATGACTTAACAGACTGGGTTGAAAAAGAAATACTACATACCTGAACAGAAAATACATGCCATTGAATAATGCCAATGCCAATTCTTTCCAAATGCATGCAT